CGGAAGGTCGCGAGGTTCGATCCCCGACCGCGTCATACCAAAAGACGTTAAAATATGGTACTTGTTGGTCCCTGCCTGGCGCTCGCATTAATGGGTACAACAAGGACTGGTCGGCTCGGAGTCAGTATAATGTGTCTGAGTGGGGTATTCATGCTTCACTGCGGCATGGTATCTCAGTGGGCTAGCACTATAAAACCAGCTTCAGTCTGGGCTAGTACAAGCAGCCGCACATACACATACACACGCATGCACGTCGTCATATGAGCGAAATATTCTCAAGCACGACGTAAAACCCAATTTCACCTCACCTCACCTAATTCACATAGCAACCTTGGTATTGCATGACAAAATTATATATAAGACTTGTGAGAAACCTAGTGGAAACCTTCCACTCATCCTCTAAGTGTGTAGCTTGGCGTACAGGATAGGACAGGACAAAGAAAGCTTGTAGTGTTTACATTTCCTGTCAGTTCAGTTCAAATTTTTACCAAAATTGAAGCATTGAGAACTGGTTGAGACATATCATATTTTCATAGTTTATTTTTGGCCCAGTTACTGAATTTGACTTTCACAGACCCCAGATTTTCTAGCAAGTCTGCATTTTGTACATCAAGCAATTGAATGATCCCAGCTGTAGAGCTTGTGTTTGATTTTATTTATATTCTGTTAAGATTATTTAGGGGTTGTGGGGTAGCCTAGTGGTTAAAGTGCTTGAAGCCCATGTCTGGTATCTGCTGCCGTGATATTGCTGGAACAGTGCTACCAGTGGCATAAAAAACCAACCTTCCTCACTAAGAATATTTAGATTGGCCAATCCCTCTGTCATAACAAAGATCTGCTAGGCTACAACATGAATTAAAACCAATTGTCTGCTAGTTCAGTTTTTCCATATTATACATAAAATGGGAAGGACAGTACACAACACTCTACCACTTCGACACTAGTGTTTATTGACTAAAAAAGCTGTCATAGTAACCCACACTCATAACCTCTTCAACAAGTAATTCAACACAAACTGAATGTCTGTTTCAGGACAAACAGTTGTCAAGATATCCCTTAGTGAATTGTTGAAGATGTCAGAATGTAGAGGTTCTGAAACGCTTGTATCAAAACACAAAAATATCTAATTCACTGACCACTGGTGCTTCAAACTTCAGAAGAAACTCTCTGATATGTCATACTGACAGTAAAGACCATCTTGTTGTGTGTGCAGAGAACATGAAGTCTCAATTTGCTCAAGCATGGAATAATGGTCTGTGCAAGGAAGGAATGCAGTGGTTGAAGGAGTGACAGCTGTCCTGGCTAACACTAGAGCATATTCCAATGGATAAACATGCCAGTTAAATGAGGTTCTTGGGTCATGATGGCAGTGTTCACGAATAGCATCTGACCCTCTGACAAATCCGGCAGATTTGCCAACGGTCCGATAGAGGTCTACAACCCACCGGCCCCAGTGTCTGACTGTATATTTCACAATGACTTTGACTGAAGTTAAATGGGACATGTGACACCTGTTTGCTGTTTATAAATCTTATGTTTGTTTATAATTTCAGTGCCAATTATAAGAAATGCTAAATCTGAAATGTGTGTTTAATTTTATTCTATGGGTACTGTGAATTTTCAATGGGTCAGACAGACATCTGAAACTTACAGGACCCAATGTCCTGTTCCTTTGAAACATGATTCGTGAACACTGTGATAGAAGCCCGTACATTGACACACTATCACAAAGGATGCATCAGAAAGTACAGCGACTGACATGTTATAATCCCTGGCTTGCTGCAGGGAGACAGAACATTGATGGAATGCTTATCAGAACACCCGTTATCAGCATATTTGCATAGGACACTACAGTTGTGGGAATGCAGAAGATATTATTTATGCTTAAATGGTTAATTCAGATACAATGAACCAAGCTGAGATTGGCTTGAATTGCAAGTGGAAAAGGAGCAGTAATGCTTCAAGCCATATTTGTCCATGGGTCTAGAAAGGGGTCAAAGGCATAGAAAAAGATGCCATAGCAAACGGTTCTTCTGCAAAAGTGTCCAAAATCATTTGATTCGTAAATGTCAAAGAGATTTTTAAATATCAAAGAAGTTGATTTTGATTTCACATCTTGAAAGGTTCCCTGCAGAGACGAAAGCCTCATGTTTGCTCTTTGGCAAATGGGGATGACCTGTTAGCAGCGCAGGATTGGGATAACAAGCAATGGACTTGCTCATTGATCATTTTGGACTAGAACAGTCACATGTGTACAAAGGTCAAGTAGAGAAGCCTTGGTAGATCCAGAAACAACCAGTGAGAATGGTCCAAGGTTAAAACTCTTGTAGGGCTACGACTATTGTAAGTCAGTGTTACAGTATAGAACTGACTGACTGACTGAGTTTGGTTTTATGCCACTTTTAGCAATATTCCAGCAATTTCACGGGGGGAACACCAGAAATAGGCTTCACTGTACCCATGTGGGGATTCGAACCCGGGTCTTCCGCGTGACGAGCCAACGCTTTAACCACTAGACTACCCCACCGCCCCTACAGTATAGGAAGTACGAATGCTACGAAAAGTTACGTGATCTTAGGCTTACAAGAGCTTTGTGAAACGGGACCCTGGTTTGTAGTGAAGGCTTCCCAAGGGACAAGCGTAGTGTTCTGTGGAGTGGTAACTACAAGTGAGTATTTCTGAACCTGACCAAACTTGCTGTATTAGCTCTTGCACCCCCAGACCAAACAACTGGCTGTGATAGCGAGGTCAGTAGACACAACCTTTCCAAGACAAGTGCTTGGCAAAGACTGTGTCCTGACTAGATGATGTCCTAGTCTCTACTGAACGATTGGATAGGTCTTCATTTCCCCATGAACAGGACTCAAAACACTGGAGAGGGAAGAGAAGACTGTACACATCATAAGTGAAATGGACTGCAGCAATAAATTAAGATGACCAATCTTGTCGAGGATAAGTTCAAACTCAGATTGTATTGAATATTGTGAGTGAATCAACTATTTTTATACTTTAGTGGTTGTGACCTATTATTTACAAAATGCCTCCATCTTTGTGAACCCAGTGGGCCCAGAGGGTCCATTAGCTTCTTTTGCTAACATGAACACTGTATTACCAGTGTATGTCAGTTGCTGTTGGCTAGTAAATGCCAAACCAGTCAGTAATTTAGATAAAGGAAGGGCTAGGAACCTACAGTACTTTAAAGAGCCTCTATCTCTTGTCACCAAGGCCAAATAAAAAATGGTTGTGGTTCCAATTACACCTCTTAAAATTTAGGGTAGGTAGGTAGGAATTCTTTTTTTTTTTACATCTTGTTTTTAGAAATAAAGTACAAACTAATAACACAATTATCGATGTGTAATTGTTTATTCAATCAAGTTTGCACCCATCATGTCAACTTTCTCTATCAGAATGACCCATGTCCGTTAGTGCAGGGAAAAAACAATGGTATCTGAAAGCTTATTTTATTCACACCTCTTAAAAAACTTGGGTCGGCACCAGAATTCAAGGGTCGGTCGGGTAATCGGAATCACAACATTTATTTTTAGGCCCAACTACTTACAATACTCACAAGGCACACTTGTATAGAAATATGTGTCAGAAAGAGATTTGCCCTTTTAGCATGCTCTAAAAATGTCTTCTCAGATAAGCTGAAATTTGTAATGCTGAGCAATTCGATTTTAGTTTGTTGTTTTTAAACATTGAAAAAATCACATTTAACACAAAGTTTCAAACTCAAAACACCACTGGGCATATGGCTTAAATTGTGTGTGAATGTAATGACAACAAAAGTATCCAAGGTTTATTACTTCCATGACATGAATACCAGCACTTGACATTGGTCTCTTTAATGTTGTTGCAAAAATACCATCTTCTCTCAGTTATTTGCCACAATTTGTCTTGAACTCACAATATATATTTGTAGCAAATTAGAATGACGTGTCACATAATTATCACTTATCAGTGATGGCCTACAGAGACTTGTGGATCTATATTTTATTGCTAAAAAGACTAGGAAATGCTTACAAGATTAGATGGAAGTGCTGACTTTGGCCCATCTCTAAATTGCAGACTTTAAAGTCATTAAAATGATCATGATTAAACACTGTTGATCCAATTACTTCAGTTTACTTCAACTCCGAGTATTTTAGACTGCATGATAGCCCTAACTTACATAATGATCTGTCTCTGGGATATCTGGGATTGGGGGCACAGCACCTCAGTGGCGATGGTGCCTCATCTTCTTCATTATTTTATTTAGAACTCATCAGTATCAGACACTGAAACTGATGCCTCAATTCCCAAGATGAGGGGATGAATATGTATGAGGTTATCCCGATATTATTTGCAAAGGGTGCATCTTAGGAACACCAGTCCTTGGAGCTGGTATTATCTTTCTTCAGTTAAGCGGAAACTGGTTGCTGGACAACCTGGTTAGGTTGAATTACTGATTATTAAAATCAGAATGTATGTCACTTCCAGTTTGGAGCTGCTGAATGAACATTCATTCATGTCAGTGCTTGCTGAACAAGTGCATAAAATAGTCTATAGATAATTAATGATATGAATAAAGGCTATTTCATCAAATTGAAATATGACCAAAAGCCTGCTGTTTGTGGTCCGTCTACTTACACGTCAGAAGGGAACATCACAAACATCGATAGTTTTCAGTCAAAAGAGCTTGTTCTCTAAGACAACCTTCCTTTTCAAGGAGGTATCAGAGGGCTTTCCAAATTTCCCCATTTCCTGACTGCCAGACTGGAATAGATACAGTAAATTGTTTATAGCACACATGCTTATAACAAACTTATGGATATACCATGTTGTATGTTTTTTTTCAGTTATGCATAGTACCAACTATGATTATATCGAAATGAAGTTAGTGATCCCTTAGAGATTGTAGTTAAGTACACTGAGATACATGTATGTTGATAATATTTATGTGGGGCAAAAGGTTTACAAATTTGTGTTATTTTCTAAATATTTTCGTTTTCTTTTTACAGCAAGCAAGGCCCATAGAGAAGAACTGGAGGCAATCTTGCATATATTTGAAGTAAGTGATCAGCATGCTCAATATGTTCCTCTTCAACAACCCATGCCTGCCACAAAAGGCGACTATGCTTGTCGTAAGAGGCGACTAAATGGATCGGGTGGTCAGGCTCGCTGACTTGGTTGACATATATCATCAGTTCCCAATTGGGCAGATCGATGCTCATGCTGTTGATCACTGGATTGTCTGGTCCAGACTCTATTATTTACAGACCGCTGTCATATAGCTGGAATATTGCTGAGTGCGGCATAAAACTAAACTCACTCACTCACTCACTCACTCACTCACTCACTCACTCACTCACTCACTCACTCACTCACTCACTCACTCACTCACTCACTCACTCACTCACTCACTCACTCACTCACTCACTCACTCAATATGTTCCAGGAGACATCACACCAGTTTGTCCAATAGATAATCTATTTTGATGTAAGAGAATCTCTTCAAGGATGATCAGATCCAACCATCAGTAATCAATACACTTGACACATCAGGCTTTTCAAACATGCTGGAGTGCATGTATTATAAGTTTATTGACATGTTTTTTGATTTGTTCAGAATGATAGGATATTGCAGACAAGATCATGTCGACCCATAAATGGATACCAAACATTATTTGCTGAACATTAGTGTCAGTACATCAACATTATTCAGTGAAAGTGGTATAAGACATGTGTAAGGGCTTGTTACACAACATGGATGGCGTTTGCCCGCCCAAGATTTCTCTATTTTGTTTAAGATGAGTTTTGCTTTAGCTTGCACTGAAATTATCATCGGCAATCCAGTTATCCTTATTAAATTTCACAGACTTAACCTCATTAAATTTCTAAATTTAACTCTTAAATTGTAGAGAAATTTGATTACAGACTTGGTGTACACCATGTTGGTAGTCTGTGATCCTCCTCTGTCGGAGGCCATCATACATATATGGTAAACAGTAACGTGGGCTCTATACTTAGAATCTGATGCATGCTATTGATTGTGTGGGGCTGTCAGCGGTCAACCTTGCTTGCTCTGCCTTGCTGATGTAGCTAACTACATCGTCTCACTCTATGACCTTCTGAAAGCCTGCAGGCAAGAAGCAGGCACAAATCTGGCTCAAACTCAATAAATTTTGTGATTCAGTACACAGATTTTAACCCTTGAAAAGATATCAGGTTATGTGAATTTTGCAATTTAAAAAAAAAATTGATGAGCATTTTCGTGGGACTGAAATCAAGATCTGTACTTGGAGAAGTCATTCAATGTTTTTCGACCTGCTGTGACAGTGTATACGGGCCCATTATCATGATTATTGAAGCTGAACAAATACAGATTCATGGGAGATATTGTTGATAATATTCAGCCTGCGTTACACCTACCTAATCAATAGCCATCAGATTGATGAGCACTTGGCCAACCAAACCTTGGGTTTTGTTGGATTTCCAGATGAAATGGTTCATGGAAATATAATTGCAAAGATATACAGAAAAGTACACATTCCACATGACCACTTATATTGAAATATTTTCATGTTCAGAACCTGAAGGTTGCTACTGTTACAGGAAGCCATGTTGTTTGTAAGCATGTTTGACTTGTCATGGTGTATTATAGGTCGACCTTCACATATCTCAATCAAATAATTGTCATGGAGGTCATCAATATCATGCTAATAAGAATGTTGATATGACATTCTTCTAAGTATTAAGTTTGAAATGGATCTTTACTTTCTGCCCTCGATAACCATTATTATAATACAGGGTAACACTCACTAAAACCCTAAACAAAGCTATCATAATCCCAGTCATGAACATCGTCATATGAGCGAAATATTCTCAAGCACGACGTTAAACCCAATTTCACCACCACCACCACCAATCATGAACAAATATTTCATCATCTGTCAAAATATATATGACCCCAACTTTGCATGAATATAGGCACCTACAATATCAAATAATCCTCATCTCAAAAAGACTGATATCTGAAAATCTTGCCAAAAGGCAAAATGTGACATGTTTATCACAGTCTTAAATATTGAACACCATTCATGTACAATCTCAAACTAAGTACTTAGTTGGTGTGCCCCACCCATCAGCTTGTAGGCTGATTATTGTATAGGGCAATACCTGTGGAAGATCTTCCATCCTGCTTTTCTGTGTTGTCAGCAGGCAGTAGAGGAGACTGATTCTGGCGTCCCCGTTGACCCATCACTGAACAATATCATAAAATAGTTATGTATAGGTTTAACTTATGTATCGGGTAACAAATGAACATTAAAGGAACCATCTATATACTAGTCTCTTAATTTCATAGCTAACAAGGGGATGAGAAAAATGGAATAGAATTGTTTTGTGAAACATGCTATGGGGCCGCAGTAACTTGGTATAAATCAGAAATGTTTAGCTCCCCATTTATCTTACTATAGAAATGCCCTTATGTTTAATTAAATTGCTACCTATCTGAAATATCTGGACATTTACTCCATTTAAGATAAGACAAAAGTGTGATGAAGAATGTTCATGTATGTTTGTGTTGTTCTGCCCTAGTGGAGCACTAGTCTTAGTACACCATATGGTCATTGTGTCTTGTAATGAGGAGGCGATGGGATAGCCTAGTGGTTGAAGTGTTTGCTTGTCACGCTGAAAACACAAGTTTGATTCTCCACATGGGTACAATGTGTGAAGCTAATTTCTGGTGTACCTTGCCGTTATATTGCTGGAATATTACTAAAAGTGGCATAAACTCACTCACTCTTATAATGAGCATGCATTTGTAGAAACTGAACAGGAATTATATTTTCTGATATTTTTTAGCAAGAGATCCCAAGCCACGGAGCTGTTTTTTCTGTGTTTGTAGTAAACCTGACTTATGATGAATCAAACAAATATCACTAGTCTGCCTAACATAACCATGATAACAGGAGATTACAAGTGGGACATGTCTGATTCCAGTCTTGACTTGGGAGATGATAGAGAAGACACATGTTATTTGTTTGTATTTGAAAACTGAAATGCCAGAAAAAATTCGGCTAAATCGGGAGGGAAAGGTTTATGTCATATATTGTACATGCACAGATATTCAAAATCACATGTCAGACTTTTGCAATGGAAACAATAATTATTGACAATCTGTCACATTCATCACTGGTCTAAATTCTATGTCAGTTAAAGATAATTTTGGACTTGTAAGTTCAGAAGTCCAATATTGATTCTTAAGTATTCTGAAAATGACTCAGACTATTTGGAAGCCCATTTTAGGGTAATAATTTGTTTTCAGTAAAAATAGTGTATTTCAGATTATTTTTGAATAGGTCTCTGAAGTATTGTGAAATAACCCCCCAACAGTTTTGACATGTATGTGTGAACTATGCTGTGATAATGTTTTCATGATCTTTCTTTCAGAAAATTCTCTTTTTCTTACCTGAGTTGATTCACAAGAGATGGATGTTCCACAGTATAGGTGTGTACTAGTTCACTTAGACAGAAGGGATTGAGTTTACTAATTGAGTTAATAAGTCTATGTTCACATTATGAAAGTTTGAAATGTGTGTTCAACAAATGTACATTTCATTAGGAACATGTGTTTCTGTTGCCAAGAGATCCATTGGGATTGAAACCTTAGTAGCATAAGTTCTTTTGGCTGGATATACTGTTTCAGATGATTTATGTTGATGGTCCCCCTAAAACTGTTGACAGGTTCCACAGTATTTCCTTGTGTTTAGTGTTTTCAGACACTTAAGTACATTTCTTGTTTCTCAGTTATCCCATGAACAGTTGTAAAACACGTCACTAACTTACTGAAGACAACTTTGTCTTAAACACAAGCCATCATCCAAGTATTTACAATGTCTCATTATGGTGAGAGGGGCGGTGGGGTAGCCTAGTGGTTAAAGCGTTTGCTCATCACGCCATAGACCCGGGTTCGAATGCCAACATGGGTACAATGTGTGAAGCCCATTTCTGGTGTCCCCCGCCGTGATGTTGCTTGAATATTGCTAAAAGCGGCGTAAAACCAAACTCAGTCAGTCAGTCATTATTGTGAGAATAATCACTGTAGTCTGAAAGCCCATGACATCCAAAAACATACAATGTGGCGATATAGGATTTAAGATCCCAGAGCCCTGTTTAATACTCTTTAACATGGTTCAACTGAACAAGGTGTCTCTGTGTGCAATATGTTGACACATCTTACATCTCTTGTAGGTCGTGTCATGAAGAAGCTGCTTCATCCTGCCAATTCTATAAAGGTAAATATTTTTAAAGAAGGTTTTACTGTATATCTGTAGTTTAGTCATAAAGAAATGTTCCTCCTTCAACAAACACTACAAGAACGTAAACACATGGTAATTGTTGAAGTTTTGAGCCAAACTTCACCTTCTCCTTCAGAAACAATAATAGTGGTTTAAGTCAACTGCAACAAGTATATGTTTACTTCCAGCTGAGAAGGGAGGGAATGCGTCTTTTCATCGTGTGGTACCAGATCCTGCAGGACAATGCTTCGGAGGAGTGTCATCGCATCTTCCTGCAGCTGGTGCCAGATATCGGAGACGGTGTGCACCAGGACATCCTCAACAACAAGGTGCCCCAGCCTCCTGACAGTAAGTGTTGCCTGTAGCGACTGTTGGGAGATGGGTGGGATCAGTAGGGAATACTCCGTGGGGAACTTAGTTGTCGTGGTTTAATATTGCTGAATCACGCTGTAATTATGTAGTTCTTTATGTCCTGCACTTTCAGCGTATAATGGGTTCAACTGGTTGGTTGTAGTGCTGATCAAGGGTTAGATGTGCCACCTCAAAAGTACAATGTTGGTCAATATTGGTAGCTCTAAATTATGTATGTGGCAAACATGGTATGTGGAGTGATAACTGGAGATTAATTCATCTCACTCAAATGAACAGCGAAAAATGTATGCAGATGTTTAACAAGCTTATCTGAATTATGAAATATCTTTGTACTTTGTACATTTCACAACGTTTTTGACCCGTGAAGGTCCGGGTTAGAATATTCATCTTCAGTAACCCATGCTTGTCGTAAAAGGCGACTAACGGGATTGGGTTGTCAGGCTCACTGACTTGGTTGACACATGTTCCCATTTGTGCAGATTGATACTCATGCTGTTGATCACTGGATTGTCTGGTCCAGACTCGATTACTTACAGACCGCCGCCATATAGCTGGAATATTGCTGAGTGTGGCGTAAAGCTAAACTCACTCACTCACTCACTCACTCACAACTTTTTGCAATGATTAATTATTATGGAAAACCAGATGGTTGTCATTATCAAGGGTGCAGACATTTCTATACCGTCCCACTACTGGACCAGTCACAAATTATGTTCAGTAATATTGTGAACAACTATGTGAAGGAATGGATTTACATTACTCCTTGGTATCAATCCAGTCACCATCATGTTTCTGTTGTCACCAGCTCTGTAGTGTGAATGCATGCTGTTTTACAAGGTTATGTCAGAGATACAATATAGCTTAGAAGTAAAGCTCATGACCCTTGATCTGACCATGCTGACATGTATTGGATGCTGGTAGTTGTTGGGTGTATTCAAGAAATCTAGCAACAGCAGGATCGGAATGCTGAACATGATGTACGACATTAGGAAATAGGGAAGGATGATTCTCTCACACTATGTTACCTACTATTAGCTCAAAACAGCTAAACAAATGGTTGAATGAGTGATTGGTTTAACGGTGCTTTGAACAGTATTCCTGTCTTATCATGGCAGTGATACAAATTGACATTTGCTCTATAGTCCTTGCCAAATATGCCCAGTGGTGAAGGTAATATAAGAACTAGTAGAAATTGTCCATTTTAGGGGTTTTGCCAATGTTATCGGGAATAGTGGACTAGTTAGTTTCTGTCACTGTCATAGTGTGTCAGCTGAGTGTTGGAGGATACCCTCAACTGGTGCAGGTCTCAGACTTGTACAACTTGGGTAGGCTGCTGACAAACACAGAATGCAATCAAGATGTGTATATATACATCGTACTGCAGTGCTTTAGACGCCTGTGCCACCCATGCCTCCAGACAATGTAAACATTGTGGTAATTTTGAATGATTTCAGTCAGTGGTGTGTAATAAGACAAGTTTAATTGGAAGTTCCAATATGAACATATTGCCACAGAGTCCATGTTACTGGGGCCATAAAGAAATGAGTTATTGTGTGCTACATACACTGATACAGCTAGTGAACTTGTCTGGCTTGTCACAGAAGCATGGTGTATGACATGGTGTATGACGACACACTGTTTTCTGTCAATTTAGTTAATCACCAGTCTGGGTCCCTGCGGCCACTGTGTAAGTCTGTTTTGCTTCACTGCAATGTGCCACTGCATGAGAAGGGTTCTTGCAGAGTATCACATATACCACGTACTGACATTTGTGCATGTTTTGTGTATTAAATACTTTCATAAAGAACTAAAGTGTTGATGTTTTATCAAAATCAGTATAAAGGAACATTTATATTATATTTTTTGTATCCTTTTGAATAACTAAATCATAATATCTTCGATTTTCTATAAAACCTTGTCCATGCTCAGATTCATGCTTCTCAGCATTTGAAAGGGAAGTCTGTTACGTCAATAACCTATGATTACCCCTCGAACTCATTAACTATTTTATGTAAATACTTGTCTCTCTCAGTTGGCCTGTCAACATTAACAGTATTCAATTACCTATTTATGCATCATTTTCACTGTGTATTGGATGAATGTAATTCATCAGTTGAAATGATAAAATTTGTAGTTGTCGCCTTTGTGGAGAGGCTATATTCAGTGCTGTGGTATCTTGTAGCATCTCCTCCGAAGCGATGCCCAGACACTGTAGCTGCTGTGCAGTGTTTGGCTTGTGGTTGCTAGTTTTGAGCATGTCGAGTGTAATTGTAGTCAAATATTTACCCAGGGTAAATAGTAAAGACGTGCATACACATCCCTTTCATGTGTTCAAGCTGCTGAAGTCCAGTATCAAATACTCGTTAGATACCTGCCCGACTCCCTGCTTTCTAACCTTGTTATATTTGTGTTTTTGTTTTTATTGATTTGTTAACTCATTCATGGAAATATGTCAGCAAATAGGATCATCATAGTTCTTTCTTGAGGAAATAAAAAGCTGTTATTTGCTTTTTACCAATCTTAATGTTATACACAACTATTGTTTATGGCAATGAAGTGGCATCGACAGAAGTTTCTGTTCCTGTGGGCCAGTAGAAGAGATTTCAGACAACCTTGGGTCAAATGACAAACTCTTGGTTCATACAGCTATACATCCAAACTTGATTAGATTCAAATATGTTTTTGTCAAGTGTGGACAACATTGAAGATGCAATTTTTTTAGTCTTTGTACAAAGACAACCATTTTTCTTGGAACAAGCAGCGCCACTCAACAAACTTGTGTGAAACCTCTATTGCCACGTTTCCTGTACCTGTCACTTTGAGGAAACAGTTTCGTAGTGTCTTTAAGTGTTTGACACCAATTATTTTTATTATAAAGGAGTGCCAACCTACATGATCCAACAGCCTATTTCACATGCTTATTTTCCTGCAGTTGTTACATGTACTTCAAGGCTATGCAGCCAAGCTCCTCACAGCCACACCTCATTCCCTGCACATCACCTGGAAGACTTAATGCAGGTGTCACGCTCTGTGATGGAGCTTGCTTTGAAACACTGCACATCGCTCATTTCTGGTTGAAGTGGAGCAAATTATCAAATGTTTATCTTATTAAGTAATCTATGTTAAACAATATTAATAATACAAGTTTATTAACGTTAATTCTCACAACAATGATGTGTCATTACAAATTGCTTAAAACACTCAAATACTCTGTTGATTTTAAGTGACATAATTTTTTTGTAACTATTTCATTGTAACATCTTTTATCCTAGGTTAAGAGATTTCAGGTAATAGGACATAAAAAGCACTTTTATTATTCTTATTATCATTCCTTTGTCACAGTCATCATGACATGGCTGAAATATTGTTGATGTGACATTAAATGTTAACCCACTTGCTCTCCTTTTGTCATAAAGAGGATGTTCCTCCACATTTTAGGCATCAATACATGTATTGCATGTGCATTAGAATAATATGCAGTTATTGTCATGTATCAGGTTAATATATTCATGAATAGATAAAGATATGCATTAATTAATCAGCAGGTTTGATAATCATACTAATGTCAGCATGATTGTTCCCACCCTTAAACTTACCTTTGATTAATCTTTTGATTATTTAATGAAATACTGGCTTTTGATATATACATATATTCATTTGCATAAATGTGATGTGTTTTTGTGTGAGCACGTGGCAGGATGCCTGCATTTTATTCACAAACGAATATCAAACGTGAACCTGTTCCAATAAAACTCTCTTTACTGTGTCCAAGTCATCTTGATCAACTTAGAAATTGTTACCTACCTGTAAATACTTCATTAAATGTTTGTGGAGCTAACTGAATAATGCCGGTGTTGACCTATCTGTGTACTACACCACTACAGGTGTATTTCCTACCACTCCCAAGAAAGTAAGGACAATTTGATTCTTTCTTGTTTCTATAGTTAATCTGATCTGTTTGCATTCAAGGCTGCTAAAGGACCTTCATAATATATGGGTAGTGGGGAGGTGGTGATGATTTTAAAGAGGGGTCACCCATTTTGTTCTGGGGAGGTAGGGGGGTCAGCAATTTTGTACACAAACATATTTAAAAATATGGGGTTGGGGGTGGCATTGATTTGTACATGACATGGGGTGGGGTGGGTAGGGGATCACCTTGTACAGAAATTTTAGGGGAGTTCATTCACATTGTACATGATTATCATTAACTTTATCAAAACCCCAGTAGCCATTATGAACGGTCCCTAAACTTGCCTCTTCACTTTCAGCCTGCAGTGGAGTGATAGCATCAGGGGAGGTAACTGCAATATTGCCTGGAGCTGGTGAGAAGATTCCTGAGAATGTGACCAAGTACTTCCTTGATGCCCTACTTACAGTCATGGTGTCTGAGGTGAGTCCATGGTCTCAAAGATTCTTAAGACGGACATTTGCTGTTGGTATTGTGTACAGTAGTGATCTTTAGCTGTTCAACTGGTTGTTGGTTTGAAACCATTGTCAGCCGCGACTGACCTCATTGCTGTGTTCCAGGTGATCAAAATAGAGTGGATGAATAAGGACATGCGTGAGACCAGCTTCGTGTTCCTCTTTAATAAATTCAAGGACAGCTATCTACATTGGTTATTGCCTGAGTTTGAGATGAGGGACATCTACGAACCAGTATTAGGTGAGACACCAGCTCCACAGGGATCATTCTAGTACTGCTTGTGCTTATGTCCATTGTCAATTAATCTTTTAGTTATTTAAGTATAGAGTCAGCAGAAAGGGGATTGTCAAATGAAGCTCAGGGCAATTATTACTTGAGTCCTTTGGATTCTTTTTCATAGAGATCGTCCTTGGGGTACATATATTCATTTTCTGCGGCTGAAAATGTCATGACAGTTGTATCAATGTTTTAATGAAAATATTGTACAATGAATAAAATCTTTTTTATTTATTATACGGACCCCACCATGTTGAGTTACACCCCTGCTACGCATGCGCAGCCAACCAGGTAAGCACCTAGACCTGTATCATCATTCCTTCTGCTGTCACTCTAGCGTTCACACGTGTTTCCAAAGAGTTACAAGCTGATTTACTTCTTATCGGAAGAATGTCTGAGACTTCAACTACTGTATGTATGGTCTTCATTCGTTCTTGAGAAAAGTTTTATTGACTTTGCTGTCAGTTATTTCTCATTTATGTGACTTTGTATTGACCTTTTACGCTAGCTTTCCCGTGATTTACGCACGTGTTGCTATTCCATGGCGGGAAGTTTAGCGTGCCACGTGGTTGAAATATTGCATTATTAACCAAGTATTTCATGTCGCGTTGTCGCATTCACGTAGTTTTCAATGTTTTGTACATGTATATTTATGCTGTTGTGTTCCGCCGTTAGCTACATGCTTGCGTGTTTGCTTTCAGGCATTTACGTGGTGTTCTGCCTGCGGGCAAAATATCCCTCGCTCAGATAAGCATGATAAATGCTTATGCTGTCTGGAGAAGGCAGGGCATAACCCCGACATCTGTGAATTGTGTATGGGCTTTTCCCCCGGGCCCAGAAGAGACGGGCGTCTGTCTTCCTTTTTCACAAGGAATGGTGTGAGGCGGAGGGAACTTGACCCAGGAGGTTCCACTGTCCAAGGCCAAAAAGGCTAATTCTAAGTCGACTTCGCATAAGTCACACTCTCATTCTCAATCCAGTGGTTTTGATATGTCCGTTATCACACAATTGTTTCAACAGCATATGGACTTAGTGAAGTCCCTCGGTCACGAGTCGGTTGGAGGTCGCCGGCAGGAGTTCCTCGACCACTCAGATAGGGGGGCTGCGAGTCCGGGGGTGGGATCGCCGAGCTCGGCTCGATCCCTTGGCCTGGAGGCATCTGTCTTTGGCGTCGTATCCGGACGCCTGGGCTACCCCGGACGGGGAGGGTTCGCTCCTAGTCCTCTCGGTTTTGGCGCAGGGTCCGTTGGGAATTCCTGGGGTTCCGGTCCCCGCGCCACCCCGCCCCATGAGAGCAGAGGAGCCGGTTCTGTCCGGGCTTCCTCCCGTGTCTCAGGACCGGGCTTCGAGTGTAGTGTCGGTTGCCAGAACTGAGAGGTCCTTCGGCTCTTCCCTTCCCGTGGCATCTGTGGCTCGGCCTCCCACCGGGTCGGGGTTCTGCTCCTCTTCATGTGGAGATCCGAATTCTGACTCTGGCTCAGGTGCCGAGTCTATGGAGGTTGGGGAGGTCGAGGAGTCGGAGGGTACTTTCCGTTTTTCGACAGCTCTCCGGGAGGTTAGGCAACATATTGCCCAGTATATTCCCCAAGCCATGGTGCCGACATGTAGCTCGGACTCAACTGAGTTCCGCCTGCCGGGTGAGGCGTTTGCTCCTCGGCAGCCCTCTCAGACACAGCTCCGCATCTTGCCCTCCCTGGTGCAGGACGTTATGGATCCTCTCCTGGTTGGTTCTCGCCTCAGGTTCGATCTTCCCGAACTAGTTAAGAGGTATCAGCTGGGTTATGATTCTCTGTTCTTTATGCCGGTGGTGGACGAGTGAGTGTTTACTTCGGTCGCCCTCGGGGGGAGGCTCGGCTTCTTCAGGTGCAGCCCCGGCTGCCAAGCAAGGGCAGTTAGTACCACCGTTTGCGCTGGCGGGCGCCCCCGTGCGGCAGGCATACCGGACATACGAGGAAGTCTACCGGAATGCCATGCAGCAGGTGTGGGTCGTGGTCCACAAGGCGTACCTTTCCTCGATACAAAGGTCGGCTCTGGAGGCGGAAGGGACCACTGGTGACGTTTCCCCGCATGTTGTTCTTCTCCGCCAACTATCCGAAGTTCAGGCCCATTTGAGGCGAGACTCTTTACGGTCTGCCGCGTCCACGGTGATGTGCACAGTCATGGGGATGAGCAAGCTGTGGCTATCTACATCCCGTTATTCGGCAGCAACACAGAAGACCTTGCTGGCCCTTCCGTTTCGACTGGGAGCGACGTTGTTTCCGGGGGCACAGCAGGTCATTCGGGAGGCTGCTGCAGCAGCGACTTCCTTCAAGGACTCTAAGGCCTTGTTGGAGCAACCGCGGGCTTCTCGCTCCCGTAACGGGTTCTTCCTCCGGGGCGCAGCCTACGCCCGAGTCCGCCCGTTGGCTTCGGCCGCTGGTTAGATGAAGGAGGAGGAGCCGTCCCGCCAAAGGTAAGGGCAAGGAGCCGGCCTCTTTGTCTGGCTCCCAGCAGCCTTTTCGCGGGCGCGGGGAGGTCTGCCCGGACCTCCCGTTAAACTTGCAGGCTGTCGCCGTGGGTGTTCAGATAGGGGGATAGCAGATCAGATCCCTTTTCTGCGGATTTAGTCCGAGTATTGGAGTTTCTGCAAGCTCGTTTGAAAGAAGGCTTGGTGGCTTTGACCATTCGTGGCTACTCCACCGCTATTTCCACTTTCCACACCCCTGTCGATGGTGCTCTTCTGGGGCAGCACACTCTTATACAGAGCTTCTAAGATGGCGTGGATCTGGTTACACCTGCTGTCAGGCGTACCAGCCCACCTTGGGATTATCGTGCTAGATTGGCTGTCCGGCTATTTCCATTCAGCTGGTAACATGGAAGGCCGTATTTCTGGTGGCGGTAACATCTGGGCGAAGGGTTGGCGACTTACATGCTATGTCGGCAGACCCGGCGCTGACTGTGTTCCATCCAGATCGTTTCAGTATTCGCCTCCCGGATACTTACCGTCCGAAGATCGATCACACTTTCCATGTGACAGCTCCTATCGAACTTCCTACTCTTACCCAGCCTTCCACACCGGGGACCTCTGCAATGAGCACTCACCCGTTGGATGTCCGTAAGACCCTCAAGGTCTATATCACTCGAACACAAGGGATCCGTACGGGTACCCATCTGTTCTGCAGTTACGGTGGCGGGAAGGCTGGGATGCCGGCTAGCAAACAGACCCTATCACGCTGGCTTGTATCGGTCATTTGTAGTGCTTATCAGGCTAAGGGCAAGCCTCCCCCTGAGGGGTTGAAGGCTCATTCGGGTCAGGGCAGTGGCCACTTCAAAGGCTTTTGTATCGGCACTGCCCATTGAAGAGATATGCTCTGCCGCTATTTGGAGCCAGCCTAGCACATTTATAAGGCACTATCCGCTCGATACACATTCACGTGATCGAGCACGTTTTTGACGTTCTGTTCTCGCCAGTGGACAGTGTCCTGCCACCCTGACCGAGTGAATCTTGGTTATCTGGACAGATGACGCTGTTTTCAAGTGGGTATAATTGATATATCCACTGTTGTCATATCTATCTACTTTCGATTTCTCTCATGAGATTATAGTCGGTTGTGAGTTGGTTTTCCCCCTTTGGGTGCTCTTTTATAGATTTCACGATGTGGGCGGGGTTTTTACTTTCGCACAGTACGTTCCTCCCTGTCGGTTACCCTCCCATCATGCCTCTCGTGGAAGCTTTGGGACATGTGACAGGTTAGTGTTGTTACTTTCTGCCTAACGATCGCTATTTATTTGTACTGTGACAGAATTCCCTCCTCCCTAGCCTCCTGTCTTTGGGAGTCTGTGTTAATGCTTCTATGTTCCGCAAGGACGATCTCTCTGAAAAAGAATTAACTAAACCGGCAGAGGTTTCCAATTCTTTGAAGCGAGTCGTCCTTGGGGTAGGGCCCCCCACCTCCCCGCAATTCTGTTCACTGATTTATTCAGCAAAAGGAATGATTATAAGGGCCTAGGTGCTTACCTGGTTGGCTGCACATGCGTAGCAGGGGGGTAACTTCACGTGGTGGGGTCCGTATAATAAATAAAAAAGATTTTATTTATTGTACAATATTTTTATTAAAACATTGATACAACTGTCACATGACATTTTCAGCCGCAGAAAATGAATATATGTACCCCAAGGACGATTCTCTTCAAAGAATTGGAAACCTCTACAGGTTTAGCTAAATTTATATGTGCCAACAGGAAAAATACTTTTGAATTTGTAAGGACTTGGTGATTTAGCATTTGGTCATCTGGAAGAAATTTATGATTGTTCTCGATCAATGAACGTTTCCCCCAATGTATAATTGATCACAAGTACATCAGTTTCCTCAGGTTTGTAATCATAAGTAGCTTCTGGAAAGTTTACATGAACTGTACAAACGTGATGTTGCAGACCTACCTCGAGTGCGTACAATCCCTGAGATGATGGCGAAGGATGAGCCTGTCAACGTCACAGAGTGCCGGGACTCTTTCATAAAGTGGTTGGCAAACTTTACCCTCTCCACCAAGAAACCGGACAACAATCTTGTCAAGTAAGGTGCATTAATTCATCATTCACGTTACTCTTCACGACTGACCCATGAAGATCTTGGTTAGAATTAATCTTCAGTAACCCATGCTTGTCGTAGGAGGTGACTTATGGAATCGGGTGGTCAGACTCGCTGACTTGGTTGACACATGTCAATGTATCTCAATTGCATAGATCAATGCTCATGCTGTTGATCACTGGATTGTCTGGTCTGGACTTGATTATTTATAGATCACCACCAAATAGCTGGAATATTGCTGAGTGTGGAGTAAAACTAAACCCACTCACTCTTCACGACTGATCCTAATTCATGAATGTTTTAAATGTGTCATCACCATGTAAAGAGAGTCTCTATTTCACCAATCATGGCCACCATTGCAAGAGAGCATCTGTTTGCCTGGTACAGGATAGCCATAATATTGCTGGGAGATCCTGGTTATTCCTGTTATACATTCATTTACATATATCGGGTATAGAACGTGAGAGACTTCAAATTATTTTGGTTATCACTGTTTAACTTGTGTTAATGTCTGCACCGGCATGTCAACATTAGGGACACATGTTTGTGTAATACACTAATCAGTTTCTAAAATACCTGCACTCTTGGACTCTTGGGGTCTGCTTTCTTGCTTCACATTTTTCTCAGGAATCCGATGAAACATCACTTTCAAATTTAAACAAATATATACAAAATTTCATTTTCTTTTGATAACTCTTTTGTAATGACTTTTGGATGTCTTTCAGAGGGTTATCATGTTCAGCTCTTGCTGATGGTGGGACAGATGATGTGCCCGATTCATCAGAGGTCAAGGCTACCAACATGGAACCTATCCCAGGGAGCAATGCAAGCACATTGTCAGGTTCCAACTTCACTGAGAAGGACTCTGCCAACTCTAGTCAGTGCAGTGATGACCATAGTCTTTCAGAGTACGAGATAGTACGCACGGTTCTCTACTCAACGCGGGAAAATGTCAATATTGTACATGAATGCTTCAGACAGGTGAGCTTTTTACGCATATGTCACAATTCTTGATGTTCCAGTGATTGATTATAATCAAGTTTTTATCTTTTCAGATAACGTTTAGTCATAGATTCAAATCTCTAAAACATATAATGTATCTATAGGGACAACCAACTACCATATAGATAAGCCAAATTTTGAAGCAGCCTGTAGAAGGGGGTCGGCTTATCTATGGGTTACACTTGCGTCAAACCTTTTTTTATGGTGACCTGCAGTAAGAAAACGACATCGTATTGTTTCACGTGAACGAACAAGAGAAAACGACTTGTTGACATGTGATCGTCCAGCTACAATAAATATGACATTTAACGAAACAAAATATTTTATCCATATAATTTTGGGATTACACTTTCTCAGTAAAGTACAGATTTGAGTACTTTTTGGGGTTTCCATGGCAAAAAGTTCGACTTAGCCTGAAATTGATGGTAGTGCTCTTTTCGAGCAGAACTCTAAAACCGTTCACTATTTCTTCACCAAACTTGGCACATAGATAGATCTGGTGGTGTACTGGTGCCTTTGGGTAGTTTTGGAATTCTGAACAAAATATTTTTGGCATTTCAGAACAAGTTGGTAGCCTGAAATTGGTGGTAGTGCTCTTTTCGTAGAACTCTAAAACCGTTCACTATTTCTTCACCAAACATGGCACATACATGGATCTGGTGGTGTACTGGTGCCTTTGGTAGTTTGGGGAATTCTGAATTAAATATTTTTGCGTTTCCATAGAAAGTTTGACTTAGACTGAAATTGGTGGTAGTGTTCTTTTTGAGAACTCTAAAACCGTTCAATATTTCTTCACCAAACATGGTACATGGATAGATCTGGTGGTGTACTGGTGCCTTTGGTAGTTTTGGAATTCTGAATAAAATATTTTTAGGCGTTTCCATGGCAACAAGTTCGACTTAGACTGAAATTGGTGGTAGTGCTCTTTTCGGAGCTGAACTCTAAAACCGTTCAATATTTCTTCACCAAATTTGGCACATAGATATATCTGGTGGTGTACTGGTGCCTTTTGGTAGTTTTGGAATTTTGAATAAAATATTTTTGACGTTTCCATGGCAAAAAGTTTGACTTAGCCTGAAATTGGTGGTAGTGCTCTTTTCCGGAGCAGAACTCTAAAACCGTTCAATATTTCTTCACCAAACTTTGCACATAGATAGATCTGGTGGTGTACTGGTGCCTTTTGGTAGTTTGGGAATTCTGAATAAAATATTTTTGGCGTTTCCATGGCAACAAGTTTTACTGAAATTGGTGATAGTGCTGCTTTCTGGAGCAGAACTTTAAAAACCTTTCAATACTCTCCTTCCACTTTTCTATATACACACCTAAATATTTGACATAATCATAACTCGTAGACATAATCATGAAGAGTATTTTGCCATTGCGGGGGATATTGATGACTTTGTCTTCTTGTTAGATAATGTTTAGTCATGGATTCAAAGTTCTAAAACATATAATGTATTTATAGGGACAACCAACTACCATATAGATAAGCCAAATTTTGAAGATAAAAAAAGCAGCCTGTAGAATGGGTTCGGCTTATCTATGGGTTACGGTTTCGTCAAACTTTTTTTCTGGTGACCTGCAGTAAGAAAACGGCATCGTATTGTTTCACATGAACGAACCATTGGTCAGATGTCTGTCTCTATGTAGTATTCAATATACAGATTTAGATTGAGAAGTACTGCATCTGGTAGGATTATGTTTAGGTCTTTGCACCATTTACCTGTTTAGGCTGTGATCAGGAAATATAGGTGTGTCTTTCGTTCCAGGCTCTGTTGTTCTCGTTCCGCCATGCTGCTGCCATGAGGAAGGTGATCACAGTGTACAAGGAGTGGTTCCAGGTAGGCTGTTCACTCTCTGACCACACCCACAGCATGCATGTTTAGTTGCATCGTTCTTACACTTCTGTACCTAGGAGGGGGAGTCTCAGGCTTTTAAAACATCATTCAACAGGGGGGTGGACAGTTGGCATGATGAAGATTTCATCACTGGGATTGGTTCAGACAGATTATTCAAACATACATTTTGTTGTGCTTATTTCATTTACAAAAACCTGCGACTCTTCCATGACTTCTTTGAGTGTATGTTTATGTTAGAATATTACTTTTTTCTTGAACAGCAATTTTTGTATGTTTATTAGTGGTTTAAATGTTTAAATTTCATATGTAATGTCACATGATTCAAATTGCTGTGATAGTAGTTTTCAAAGAGAATTGCCAAGGATGTTATATGTCATAGATTAAGCTGTTCAACTGTAATAATGAAGCTAGTTTGCTGCCTACAGTAATAAAGCATGATGTCCTAATGTAATAGATTGCATGAATATACGTTTTACATACTCTAATATCTCGGCATGTCAAATATAAGAATTGTGTTGTCAGTGGTGATTAGTAATTTCATCAAAACAAAATCATTAACTCTTCCCATTTTACAAGTTATGTGTACATACTAATTTCCTACTGAAATACTAGCATTTTACCTAGTAACATAGAGTTTGTTCAATGTTTGAGTTAGTGTTAGTTTTCTCAAGACATTGGCTGCATTATCCTGGGTTTCAGTTGACAAACCCTGATGATGCTGATGTGTCTGGATGTGATCCTTAGTGGAACATAGGGGAGTTTACATAGCTTGCAGGGATCAAATGTATCTTAACAGTCTGAGGCGAAAACATTGGAGTGTAGTAGTCCAATCTTGGCTATAGGACCTATGAGTAGGTTTTTATGTATTTTGAACTTACTTGACAGAACAGATTCTGATGGCTTGCATCACAGACTGTTCCTGTGATTAAGACCTCTGTGTAAATGACACTTGGTCCAGGTGATATATTCAGGGGTTGGATGGATGGAACTTTCTAGAAGCTGAAATTGGTGCATCATAATTTGAAATTTCTGTCTTCTTCTGTTTTCAATTTAACAAGCGCTTGTGGTAGATATGTTTTGCACAGTTTAACAGATCCTGTTCTTTCCAATTTTCTGATCAATCACCCGATTGCAACCATTGCTAATATTTTAGAAGGCTGGGGCTGGGGCTGGCCAGTTTCTTGTAAGGATCACTCCAATGTTGACTACTTCTTGCTACCATTGTGCATGCTGCATGCTGTTTTTGTTTGTTACTAGCATGTGGACCAGCGGCCCATCTTCATGCAGGAGCCGTGCTCGGAGGCGGGGCAGGCCCTCGACTCACAGAGAAACACTCCCGAGTTTCACCATAGTAGTCTATCTGACATCGTCGAGGAGGATATCTCCTCAGATGTACGTATTTAACAGAGAGAGTTTTATGGCAGGCATAGAAGTGGTTACCTATTTGAAACCTTCTACTAAAGAAATAGATAGCAACCCATTACCGTAACTCTCAAGGGTATAGTAGCGAATTGCAATTTTGCAAGGACTGAAGGAAAATAAAAGTATATTGTTGTTTGTTATCCCCCTCAACGCGTTTTGCGGGGGGTATTAAAATGGACTCCGTCCGTCCGTCCGTCCGTCCGTCCGTCTGTCCGTCCGTCCGTCCGTCCGTCCGTGCACATTTGTCTTTTCCGGAGCAGAACTCTAAAACCGTTCAATATTTCTTCACCAAACTTGGCACATACATGGATCTGGTGGTGTTGTGGTGCCTTTTGGTAGTTTTGGAATTCTGAATAAAATATTTTTGGCGTTTCCATGGCACAAGTTCGACTTAGACTGAAATTGGTGGTAGCTCTTTTTCGGAGACAGAACTCTAAAACCGTTCAATATGTCTTCACCAAACTTGGCACATAGATAGATCTGGTGGTGTAGTGGTGCCTTTTGGTAGTTTTGGAATTCTGAATAAAATATTTTTGGGGTTTCCATGGCACAAGTTCGACTTAGACTGAAATTGGTGGTAGTGCTCTTTTCGAAGACAGAACTCTAAAACCGTTCAATATGTCTTCACCAAACTTGGCACATAGATAGATCTGGTGGTGTAGTGGTGCCTTTTGGTAGTTTTGGAATTCTGAATTAAAATATTTTTGGCGTTTCCATGGCAACAAGTTCGACTTAGCCTGAAATTGGTGGTGGTAGTGCTCTTTTCGAACAGAACTCTAAAACCGTTCAATATGTTGTCACCAAACATGGCACATAGATAGATCTGGTGGTGTACTGGTGCCTTTTGGTAGTTTTGGAATTCTGAATCAAATATTTTTGGCGTTTCCATGGCACAAGTTCGACTTAGACTGAAATTGGTGGTAGTGCTCTTTTCGAGACAGAACTCTAAAACCGTTCAATATGTCTTCACCAAACATGGCACATAGATTGATCTGGTGGTGTACTGGTGCCTTTTGGTAGTTTTGGAATTCTGAATAAAATATTTTTGGCATTTCCATGGCAACAAGTTTGACTTACACTGAAATTGGTGATAGTGCTCCTTTCTGGAGCAGAACTTTTAAACCCTTTCAATACTCTCCTTCCACTTTTCTATGTACACACCTAAATATTTGACATAATCATAACTCGTAGACATAATCATGAAGAGTATTTTGCCATTGCGGGGGATATTGATGACTTTGTCTTCTTGTTATATTTTGAAAGAAAGTCTTGGTGAACTTATTGACAGAATTTAATGATGAAGAGCATAAAGCTTTAATCAAAAAAGACATATCAACTAAATGTTGATCTGTGTAATATTTTGTCAACTCAGCATGAGTGATTGGGTCTGAGACATTGAAAGTTCCTTTTGTTTGATCTAACTGCATGTTTTGTATTCATTGGTTAGTTTAGAGTTACTCTGCTTTCCCATATTAACAGCTTTGATGATTATTTAGAGCAAACATATTTGTTTCATGTTTATCATCATGGTGTTTGTGAAAGATCATTTCTCATTCCTGTATTCTCAGTCCTCCCATTCAAGCAAGTTAAAAGTATCACAAGCAAGTTCAACATATGTATGGAGGATTTTTGTTCTCAAAAACATCATTCTTGGATTATATTTTGTAACATTATCTTGCTTTTCACACCAAAAGAAATGTTTTTACGTATTAATATGTTGAAACATGAAATATTTTTAATTATCTCATCTTTAATCTGTAAATATTGTAACCACTGGATGACTGTTAACATACTCTGTCATCAATGTGACTTTTCCCAGGATTCTCTAAGTGCTAGTGCATCGTCCATCCCACGGCAGTCGTTCCTGACCGACGGTCTGGAGAAGCCGAAGTACATCCGTAATGCCTCCTACCTGGGGGCTGTGCAGGACCTGGCTGATCAGGGGGAGCAACAACAACTGGAGGTGCGTGCTGGGATGCAGAAGGTGCTGCAGGTCTTCATCACCAACGCTGCCAACATCTTCCTCCTGGACACCGATGACGACAGCTCACTGCAGGAACAGGTGCCTTTTACGTCTATATCATTCCAGTATACAGAGACAGCTCACCACAGAGCCTGCTCCCTTTGTATCATTGCTATATACAGACACAACTCATTGCAGGAACAGGTGCCCTCCCCACTTCAACATATACTTTAAAAATACCATAGCAATTATTTTCCCCTCAACCAGAAAGATTTGTGTGCATGGCTAATAGTTTCTTTGCTGTGTGTTTCAGGTTGACCTGTGTAAGCGGGTGCTCAATATCTACAGACATGTCGTCATGAATGTACAGCTGCACCAGAAGACATGGTAGGTGCTAAACATTGTGTCTCCATTTGCCATGATTCCTCTGTTGCTGTAGTTAGACTCCAGCCTGAGATGGTTGGTCATGTTACTTATAGAAGTCTGTTGTTGATGGAGAGACTCTGTTTCCAGGGAGCAGATACTGGTAGTGTTGCTGTAGCTAGACTCCAGCCTGAGATGGTTGGTCATGTTACTTATAGAAGTCTGTTGTTGATGGAGAGACTCTGTTTCCAGGGAGCAGATACTGGTAGTGTTGCTGTAGCTAGACTCCAGCCTATAGAAGTCTGTTGTTGATGGAGAGACTCTGTTTCCAGGGAGCAGATACTGGTAGTGTTGCTGTAGCTAGACTCCAGCCTGAGATGGTTGGTCATGTCACTTATAGAAGTCTGTTGTTGATGGAGAGACTCTGTTTCCAGGGAGCAGATACTGGTAGTGTTGCTGTAGCTAGACTCCAGCCTGAGATGGTTGGTCATGTTACTTATAGAAGTCTGTTGTTGATGGAGAGACTCTGTTTCCAGGGAGCAGATACTGGTAGTGTTGCTGTAGTTAGACTCCAGCCTGAGATGGTTGGTCATGTTACTCATAGAAGTCTGTTGTTGATGGAGAGACTCTGTTTCCAGGGAGCAGATACTGGTAGTGTTGCTGTAGCTAGACTCCAGCCTGAGATGGTTGGTCATGTTACTCATAGAAGTCTGTTGTTGATGGAGAGACTCTGTTTCCAGGGAGCAGATACTGGTAGTGTTGCTGTAGTTAGACTCCAGCCTGAGATGGTTGGTCATGTTACTCATAGAAGTCTGTTGTTGATGGAGAGACTCTGTTTCCAGGGAGCAGATACTGGTAGTGTTGCTGTAGTTAGACTCCAGCCTGAGATGGTTGGTCATGTCACTCATAGAAGTCTGTTGTTGATGGAGAGACTCTGTTTCCAGGAGCAGATGTTGGTAGTAATGTTGCTGTAGTTAGACTCCAGCCTGAGATGGTTGGTCATGTTACTCCTTATAGAAGTCTGTTGTTGATGGAGAGACTCTGTTTCCAGGAGCAGATACTGGTAGTGTTGCTGTAGTTAGACTCCAGCCTGAGATGGTTGGTCATGTTACTCATAGAAGTCTGTTGTTGATGGAGAGACTCTGTTTCCAGGGAGCAGATGTTGGTAGTGTTGCTGTAGCTAGACTCCAGCCTGAGATGGTTGGTCATGTTACTCATAGAAGTCTGTTGTTGATGGAGAGACTCTGTTTCCAGGGAGAAGATACTGGTAGTGTTGCTGTAGTTAGACTCCAGCCTGAGATGGTTGGTCATGTTACTCATAGAAGTCTGTTGTTGATGGAGAGACTCTGTTTCCAGGGAGCAGATGTTGGTAGTGTTGCTGTAGTTAGACTCCAGCCTGAGATGGTTGGTCATGTTACTCATAGAAGTCTGTTGTTGATGGAGAGACTCTGTTTCCAGGGAGAAGATACTGGTAGTGTTGCTGTAGTTAGACTCCAGCCTGAGATGGTTGGTCATGTAAGTCTGTTGTTGATGGAGAGACTCTGTTTCCAGGGAGCAGATACTGGTAGTGTTGCTGCGGGTCACGGCGGGTGTTCTCCAGAGCAGGCCCCCGACGGAGAGATACAGGACCATCGGTGGGAGGTTGGCCCAGCCGATCTTCCAGGTAGGACTTCATTCCAGAAACTTGAACCTTATGTTGACTGACGTAACCTTCCTTCACAGAGCAACTAATTTTTAAACTTATCCTATCTCACGACTTGCTCCTCTCTCTCTTGCTTCAACTTTTAGTGGAACGACTGTAAACTTTTTTCCATAGGCCTCCTTGTCCATTCGCCCATGCACTCCATGCTGCTCTCCTTAATTAGCTTCCTAGTTCCTAATAAAGCTTGCAGCATGCTCCACTAATTGCCCATGTGACTGCCTTGAATGATCATTCTCTTTCTTGTCGCATGACTGTGTGGACGTGCTGTATATTAGAGACATTATTTCACCCTAACATCATGGGGAAAACTGTTAATCAGTCAAGGAAAAGGAAAGTTTGTGCTCAGTGCAAGACGAATTATTCGTCCCTCGACCCTCACTCGTCTTGCAGTGACTGTATTGGACAATGTAACTGGAACAAACGATGTGGCAAGTGTAATTCATTGAAAGATGAGGATTTTAAGGCCTACCTTCGTGTTTGCTCCCAGAGAATCGCCGATAGGGACAGGAAATCAACAGAATCTGATCCCACTCCTGCCAAGCGTATCAAGTTACAGCGACAAAAAATCATACCTTCACGCAAAAGAGCGACGTCTGTGGTTCAAGAGAATTTTATGGACGTTTAATCAGATTCTTACTTATCTGAGGACGTTCGGCACCTATTACGTACTTATCAATCACCTTCTTCAATAGCGTCAGATCACTCGCTTGTGGTTGTGATAGACAATTCTTCGTTGCCTGTCCCATCTACACTACCAGGGTACCTTAGATCGACACTATCATCATCCAGATCATCGGTACATATCCCCTCGACTGTCTCAGTTTGTTTGGAGCCTGGCCAATCGTGTTCAACCAGTTAACTGTCTCCCCACAGTTCATTGAACCGGACGGAGCTGGCTACAACAGCGTCGCCGCGGGACGTTCATCATGAATCAACACTTCAGGTTTCGTCACCTAATCGCCACATCATTCTAGATCACCTTCACGATCCAGATCACCATCTCAAACCCGATCTAGATCACCGTGCCAATCAAGATCACCTGATGGATCCAGATCACAGTCACGATCCACATCACCTGATCAATCCAGATCACCTAACCGATCCAGATCACCAAGCGGGTCCAGATCACAACTTCAAATCAGATCACCGGAAAGATCCAGATCACCGAACCGATCCAGATCACAACATCGAAGTAGATCATCGGACAGATCCAGATCACCTAATCGATCCAGATCACAGAATGGATCCAGATCACAACTTCGAATCAGATCACCGGACCGATCTAGGTCACCTAACTGATCCAGATCACAACATTGAAGTAGATCGCCAGACCGATCCAGGTCACAACATCAAAGTAGATCAGCTAACCAATCCAGATCACCAAATCAAGCCAGATTGCAACTGCAAACCAGATCACCTTATAGATCCAGATCACGATCACAGTTTCCAGTTAGTGCATCTAATCGATCCAGATCACTTTACAAATCCAGATCATCTTACCAACCCAGGTCACCTATACGATCTAGATCACCTTACAGAGCCATTGACCAATAGGGATCACAGTACAGATCAACATCTCATGGCCAATCCTATTCAGATGGTCGAACCAGAGCTTCAATCAGAACCAGATCACCAACTCGAACTACAGCGACCCGGACTAGTTCTTCATATCATACCGGATCACCTAGCCATACTAGGGAATCTAGATCACCTGCTTACCGACCTACTTCAGTACTTACCACGTCGAGATCTCGATACAGTTCCTCTGACCGACGTTCGGGTGATCATTGCTCTGATACCACTAATAGGCCTACAGTCTCTTACGATGTTCCGTCTACACGCTCTGAGAATCCTTTGACTCACTGTAGGATCATCGCTGAGTCATGGGAACCTGATAACAATTCCACTCCTACATCGACTCCGGATCTAAATATGATGATCAGGGCCATAACCTCAGCCTGGAACCAAATACAGCCTTCTACTCCAGCCCATCCGGCTTCGGTAGCTCCTGGCTCTTCATCTGGTCCCCCTCCTGAGATTTACCCAGTCCAAATAGCCATGCCTGCATCTCCCGCTCACTCTGAGTCATCTACCCCTGGGGGTAGCTTTGCAGCAGTTGAGACACCTCAGGTACTCCTTTTGATTGTTGAGAAGCTCCAACTTCCCCTGAGTACTTCAGCAGATGACCTGGATCACTCTTATACTCTTAGGAACCGGGATTGCTCTACCATCACCCTACCACCTCGACCTTGTATTCTGAAATTATCCAGTACACTAAATGATTGTTTCAAGAGCCTGTAACGAATTAAGGACGGATTCTCTGCTCCCAGATATAATCCTTCTACCTCTCATGTCCACGGCCTAACAAAAATCTCTTCGGGTCCAACAGTTGATGAGGATATTGGAACCCTGTGTGGCAAGCGAGCTGCTTCGCCCTACCTTATTGAGGACTGAGAGTTGGCTCACATGGATTCAGGCGTGAGGAAGACGTTGCCATCTATTAGTTGCGTGATTGCAGCAGTCAACGCTGTTAACACTGCTTTGGAGCATACTTACTCTGATCAAGATGCTTACATCCGAGGATGCATGACTTTAGCTCTGGACCAGTTCCAAATTATCCTGGATCAGTTGTCTCATTTTTGGGGCTACACTCTTGCTGTTCACCGACGTGGACCCCGGGAAGCAGTGATGGCGTTCCCCCCTCCAGCTCTGCTACCAAAAGTAATACAGAAACTATTGGCCACCAGCAACATACTACTGCTTTTGGTCGCACCCTTCTGGCCAGCAAGAATATGCTTCGTCAACCTAAGAAGCCTGGCAGAACCAAACCTAGTACCGCTTCCCAACTGGGATGACCTACTTCTTCACCCTCACTCGGAACTGTGCCACGGGTCACCTCAGACCCGTTTGGCGCATCTTCAGAGGTCTCTCATAGCTAAGGGCTACTCTCGCCTAATAGCTACAGCTATCACTTCAGCGCATCGTACTTCGACCCGTTCCTTGTACGACAACAAGTGGAAGAAGTTTGAAGACTATTGCAAGCTTAGGGGAATTGCATCTCCCACTTCCACCTCGGCTCAGGTCGTTGCTGAGTTTCTCCAGCATCTCCGCACTACTAAGAAACTCAAGGGTACTACGTTAGCTACCTACTTAGCTGCCATCAACTTCGGTTTTGGCTACCACCACGGGCACGCGAAGATTTCCACTGTTCGAGTTGCAGAGTCTACTACGGCTCTATGGACTCTCTGACCAGTCAAGGAAGTTCAGACCTCTGGCCTGGGATCTGTCCGTCGTCCTTCGTCATATGATTTCTACAGATTATGAACCTTTAGAAGACAAGGACTTCGAACAAGTGACATTCAAGACATTCTTCCTGGTAGCTTTGGCTACCGCTGCTCGTATATCTGAACTGCATGTGCTTGATGTCAATCGGGTGCGGTTCGAGCGGAAGAAGCATGGCAAGGCTTTCCTGGGTCTCCGCTGGGACTTCATTGCGAAAAACCAACTGCCAGGGCAACCAGACCGGATGTTTACCATTCCCCCGTTGTCCACGATTCTTGGGCCTGATGATAATGAAGATTTGACACTGTGCCCCGTTAGGGCTCTATACGTTTACGTTGCTGCCTCCAAGGATCGTCAACGGCTACAGAAGCGCCTCTTCATACCTTTGTCAAACGCTTCAAGAACTGAGGTTTCGCGGACCACATTGGCCTTCTGGATGCGCGCCACGATCCTGCGAGCCTACACCTTTGCAGGGTTGCCTCCTCCAGCCGCTTCCAATCCTCATGAGACTCGTGCACTAGCCTCGACGATGGCCCTCCATAGCAACTGCTCCTTGACCGCTATTATGGAAGGTTGCTTCTGGTGTTCTGATACAGTCTTCTCTTCATATTACCTGCGAGACCTGTCTGTCACGGATGTCCAGGGACTACACCAGTTCGGACCTCTTGTACTGGCTCAGCAGCTTACATCAGCCCAACAACGCAGATGAGGGACGGTTCCGCATTCGCGTTACTACTTCCTTGTGGCCTCCATACCAAGGCATCGGAATACGGCCACCTAGCATGGCCCTACGGACCTGAGGCACAATCAGTATGACGATGCAGAAGTGTTCGACATTCACGCTTACTGACCTCTACTCCACGGAGCAATTACGTCAGTGAAGTGTGACACTCCCGAATTCCAGTGGATTTTGTTGCGTTCTGCCTCCAAAGTTGCCGGGCACATCCTTTGACTAAGCTTAAGCAAAGGAGTGAGGGTCAATTTGATGCTGCCCAGAACTGAACGTTAAACCTTGGAGATGCAGAGTTGTGTTTCTCTTTCACCTGCCTCGGTCGGTGTCTGGGGGTGCCTTCTTGAAGCAGGGGCTGGCCCAATTCTAGTCGCAAGACTTTAATTACGGGGGTACCTTGTAAATCGTGGCGAGGCGAGGCTTACTTGCCGAGTTGAGTCCCTTTGTCTTGTACAAGGTTGCGGCTGAACACCACATCGCTTGGGAGCACCCATCTCCCTGGGAGTCGTTGTGCTACTATTAGTAAGCCAAGGGGTTCCGGAGAACCCACTACAAGCATAGGAGTTGCATGCATGCATAACAGGCCTCCCTTGTACATCGCTATCTACGGTTGTCATCAGTCCACACAGCTCCAAGACCAGCTGTTTGCACTGTCCAGACAGAAGGGTAATCTGCGGCCCGCCGTCCAACCATGGGATAAGTGCAAGTCGTGAGATAGGATAAGTTTAAAAATTTGGAAATTTTAATATAAATTGTATATTTATATACTTATCCTATCTCACACGATGGATGCCCGCCCGGCCTCCCCACTACTCAGATTACAACGCTGGCTCCAAGATGAGAATGATCATTCAAGGTAGTCACGTGGGCAATTAGTGGAGCATGCTGCAAGCTTTATTAGGAACTAGGAAGCTAATTAAGGAGAGCAGCATGGAGTGCATGGGCGAATGGACAAGGAGGCCTATGGAAAAAAGTTAACAGTCGTTCCACTAAAAGTCGAAGCAAGAGAGAGAGGAGCAAGTCGTGAGATAGGATAAGTATATAAATATACAATTTATAATAAAATTTCCAATTTTACAGGTACACGTGTTCATTTTTTTTCCCTCTTATCGACTGAGTGATTATAGATCCATTTTTGATGTTCTGGTGGTTAAATAGTCTAGGAAAAGTATTCCATTAGAGGTACAATACAGGTTTCCACCACTACTTGTTAGAGTATGATAACATTGAGGGTGAACTTCCAGAACTTGCAGCAGGTGATAAGGTATTACTGTTGCTTAGATGCATCACCCTATATAAACTGACTTTGCCTCGATGTGACCGAGAGATGGTTGTCATGTCGGCCGAGGGGTCAAACAGGTTTTCACTGACTTACCGCTATTCAAAATATTCCAGATTCTTCCAATCTGCAACATTGTCTTTTTCTGTTTCACTCTTGGGAAAACTGAAATAGTCAGAACTTAGTAATTTTTCTGTATCACTTGATTACAGACGCTGATTGTTACGTGGATCAAGGCTAACCTCAATGATTGATTACGATGGATCAAGGCTAACCTCAATGTACTCATCAGCCCTGAACTGTGGGATGAGTTTTTGGGAGTGCTGTCCTTGCTGACATCATGGATGGAGCTTGTCAAGGAATGGGCGGTATGTTTCCTATCTCTTCTAACCCGAGAAGATCCGGGTTAGAATGAACCTTCAGTAACTCATGCTTGTCGTAAGAGGCTACTAACGGGATTGGGTCAGGATCACTGGCTTGGGTGACACATGTCATCGGTTCCCAATTGCGCAGATCGATGCTCATGCTGTTGATCACTGGATTGTCTGGTCCAGACTTGATTATTTACAGACCGCCGCCATATAGTTGGAATATTGCTGAGTGGGGCGTAAAACTCACTCACTCACTCACTCACTCACTCCTATCTCTTCTAAAGCTTTTTAGAAATAGTTGAATAAGGACAAGGTATGATAAAAGTCTCTTTCCAACCCGGTTTTCAGGAAGCCATTTCCCTTTTTGTATTGACCGCCTCCGTGAGGTAGTGGTTAGAGGTCCGCCCAGAGAGCGGAAGGTCGCGGGTTCGATCCCAGACCGCGTCATACCAAAAGACGTTAAAATATGGTACTTGTTGGTCCCTGCTTGGCGCTCGGCATTAATGGGTACAACAAGGACTGGTCGGCTCGGAGTCAGTGTACTGTGTCTGAGTGGGGTATTCATGCTTCACTGCGGCATGGTATCTCAGTGAGCTAGCACTATGAAACCAGCTTAAGTCTGGGCTAGTACAAGCAGCTGCACATACATATACACATGCATGCACATCGTCATATGAGCAAAATATTCTCAAGCACGACGTTAAACCCAATTTCACCTCACCTCATCTCACCTTTTTTGTATTTGAATATGAGCAAATCATTGGCCCTAGCAGATTTCCTTTGGCAATGTAAATAAAGATAAGACAAATTTATCGCAAAATATTCTCGGTCACAGACTTGCTCAAAGAAATAATGTTCATTCTTAGCCTTGCATCTGGTGTCTCCAATACATGTAGGAAATCTTTAAGTTTCAAGAGAAAAACTAAGATGTCAACATTTGATTATGTTGGATAAATGTCCAACTACTATTGTCAAGTTTCAGCAAGTAAAACATGACAATTTCCAGTGGACCATAAATTGCCCTTATGCTACTTATCCTTTCTTATTGCAAACAAGATCAATTCATTGTTAATAAAGTGAGAAAAGTGCAGTTCTTCAGAATGAACCTTTTGGTGAATTTCAACAGTCCATGTTGGTATAAGAAATAATTTGCTCACTTGGACCGTGTAGTGCTGAATTAGGAAGGCTTTCTCTGTCAGTAGCTCACAAGTCAGGAATATAATCAGGTCTCTGTATTCTAGAATAATCAGAATCCACATTAACGATTGTAAGGTTTATGTTGATTCTGTCTGACAGAAAACAATGGAGACACTAACACGTGTGTTAGCCCGGCAGGTGTATGGCCTTGACCTCCTTGACCTGCCGCTGGTTCGACTCAGTGAACAGAAGGAAAAAAGGAGACGAGGACGATCACAAGGTAGAGGGACAACAAGACAGCACTGATACATGCTACTCAATTCTAGCTAAATAACACCCACAGCTGGAAAACTGTGCATTGCAATAACAACCAGCAGTGACAGATTAATTAGTGTCATATTAAAAGTGCAGGGGTAGCCTAGTTGTTAAGGTGTTTGCTCATCACGCTGAAGACCAGGGTTTGATTCCCCACATGGGTTACAATGTGGGAAGACCATTTCTGGTGTACCCCACCTGACATTGCTGGAATTTTGCTAAAAGCGTGTAAAACCATACTCACTCACTCACTCACTCAAAGTGCAGGTGTTCTCTAACTTCTTCTGAGTAGTATAGGTTACTGTATTTGATGACATTGTATGTTTGTGATTCCAAAATCTGAAAATTAAGTTAAATTTTTAATGACAATAAGGCTAGTTTTACATGTTTAATCATCTTAAAACATTCCGAGTTACTTGATGTTCAGATGGTGCTAAGGCAAAGGCTGCAGCTGACAAGAGTTTCTCCAGGGGCTGGAGTCGAGGTGATGGACATGTGAACCTCCGGGGATCTACCAACAGTGCCAACTCAGACTCCAACTTTGACAGGGCCAAGAACAAGAGCGATGGTAACATTCCCATGTATTGCTTACAGTATACTTCAGATATACTATAGAGTTTGATAAAACGTTGATGTGTCTAATTTACAGTAATGTTAAGTGCGACTCAAACGGGTCGGCACGTCATAACATGCTGATTCCCATACATTGTACAACATGTTCAGTGGTTGTAATGAATATCGAGTGGTCGATTTGCTTCCGCTCACTGATTCTTCTTGCTGATTCGATCTGCTGATATTATTGTCGATCTCATAATATCATGCGGTATTTTGTTTCCACGGTTTCAAAATGTCTGAAGCAGGCTCAGCAGCTGTTATCTCTGATACTATGTGAAGACGATGGCAGTGACTTTTCCAGAAAATGGCCATCTGATCACCATCAGCACAGGATTCCTCATGATATTCCATACTGTTTCATGACTCAGATAATGAGCCACAAAACGTTCCGTTTACTCCCATGACAAATTGAGGCGTGGTTTCTTTGAAGCAGACGAAGCTAGCCATGATTCGTGCTTGTATGTAAACATTTACCATGTGACACCAAAATGCAATTTGATGGGCTGCACCACATCCAACTTGCCTAATAAATAGAACAGGCTCTACACACTCGCGACACAATCAACGTGGGTTTGAGCGGCCGATTTGTACCGTTTATTGAATTCGATTAATAACTCTGGTGATACGACTCGGTCAAATTCGGCATATCAATTCGACAGGCCGACCTGTGTGAGTCCACCTTAGAACGTAGCATTTGAGGATGTTATTGTAGTATTATAAAAGCATTAGTTTGAGGACCAGGAGTGTTTTGACTGTCAAGGATGTAGTTGATGTTGTTCCAACAGACTGTAATGTACTTTATAGCTGCTGTTTCTTGGACATCAGAATCCAGAAGTCTGACATCAAAGTCGGAGCATCATGATGGTGTCAGAATTCTGTTTGAAACAATCTGAATATGTGAGTCAAGGAGAGCAAGAGTAGATTACTCACCAGTCATTCACAGCACCTCTGTTCCCACTTGGGATGTGATAGAATTGAGTTTGACCCTTCACAGGAGCTGGAGGATCTCGATCTCGGCCAGACCTCCACAAGCAACGATCTCTCAGTGGGGAGCCATCTCCAGACCACTCCAGGTCAGGTTCCACCGCATCGGACAATCTGATTGTGCGTAGCAGCAGCGAGGGCAACATAGCCGACCCTAAGGAGCTGATCGAGAAGTTACGAGGTGCATAGTGACTCAGTTCTGTCATCTTGTTGTATGCTGTTTGCAAATATGTTGTGAGGTGGTGTGCTCTTTACAGGGTGAATCTGAAGAATATGGAATTTAGCTCTAACCCTAGGTCTGAATTTCATGACAACTTCCTGTAGTATTTCCAGAAAAGGGGAGATTTGCTTTGTCAAGTCATTTCTTCAACAATAATAAACCATTTTGAATGATTGTCCATGCTAAAAACATTCCTATCACAAGTTATTTACACACTCTTTCATGCAAAAATTCAGAATGCAGTGAGTGTTTTTTCTGCACATTCAATTTGAAATATGTTACAATGATTTGACTTGGTTAAAGAGTTTTTTTGAAAGTCCTGTTTTCTCCTGTTTTGGTAAACAGCTTGTTGTGGGAGATGAAACATTACACGTTTGATTTATCTAACTTTACTTTGTGTCTGTTTTGGATCCAAGCAATCGCCCAAACAGGCACCCAAGGTAGTGTGTTTTGTAACAAAGCATGATTGTCACATTTTACTAGCATGTTTCAACTCATTTCTCTACATTCAGCATGACATATTTTTCATCACATGGCTTACAAAAAGTTGACATTATGTTCACCAGTAGTTGGTGTAGGTGCCCAGATGTGTAGGCAGTTAAATCTGTAGGCAGACTTACCAGTGTAAGTACATTAGGAGCGCTATGTAGGCAGTACAGGTTTATTAATTGTTACAACAAATTTATTTTGTATTTTTTTTCCTTCTGTACTATATTTTGTTGATCCAAAAAAAATTAAATTATATAAAATATATTTCACCTTTTTTGATGATTATTGTCACCTTAGTATTCTGCTTGTATCACTCTCCTCGATGAATCTTTCTTTTTATGTCACTTTCTCAAATGCTCACATTTTGTAAATACGTCCATGTGTTTCTTCGAAGAACATAAATAATACAGAAACGCCAATATTTATGAAAGAACTCAGATGGGAGTATGACAGTTGTTTTCTAATGGTAACCACAGTACTACAGTCACCAGCATACAAAGGCCTCATGATCTTAAGAGAAAGTAGGAATATAACATGTTTTCAAAGCCAGATATTGAGATGGTTAGTGACTAAATGACTAGCATCTCTTCTCCTGTTTTTGTTCCTGCATGTGTTTGCCTGCCTGCCTGCCTGCCTGCCTGTCTGCTGTGTCTGACTGATGCCTCCAGGAGCCGGCTTTACTAGTGAATCTAGCAGGAAGTCCAGCATAACAGCATGTGCGGCCCCAGCTAATGGGGGGGGCGCAGACCCTATAGGTATGTCGTGAGACGAGGACAGATGGACACAGAAACGACACAGTTCATGGTCACTGTTTAGGTGTTGCTTCAGATTCCTGGGATTCATTTCATTGTTGAACAATATGTCTTCTATTTCTCTTATACCTGGCTTTCATTCTCACTGGTAAAGGGTTACCTGCATATCAGTGTAAAGCGTTTGTATTCAGCAGTGGCATTAGGTCAAGGACATTTTAGTTCTATCAGATCATGCATGATTGTGTTTTGCAACTTCTGTGGACTTAATGGGAACATGTGGTAAAGAATTATAATGCCACTGACAGATGTATCAATGCAAATGAGGCTGAAAAGCCTTTGAGTAGTAATGTAACTGGTAGAGCATAAGAAGGCTGTCAGAACTATCTGTTCTCTGAGGGCAGTAGCTTTGTAGGAGGTTTCTAGCCTGTAGCTATTCAGTCTGTCCCTCTTTACAGCCTTGAGGAAACAGCTATAGCATTAAGCTGACGGTTTCTTTCAGAACATGGTCCTACAGTGATGGTGTTGAAGGACCAGGGCCCATTCCACAAAGCGATCCTAGCACTACGACTGTCGATGTCTGTGTTAAAGTATGGGAGTTACGATCGCCTTAGCACTTCTATGGCTTTGTGGAATGGGCCACTGGGCCATAACTTACGTTGAATGTCATATTTAGAAGACAGTGTTAAAATTCATTTAAAGTGTTTGCTTTTGATTGCTCATCAATCTCTTGCTCTTTTTTAAAAGAAACTTATGTTGTCCACTTGTTATGGTGCTTAGATATGTTTGTTATTTGACTCAGTTCAGGTTGCTAATAGTAACCAGGAAAATTCACTAGGTATTTTCAGCACTAGCCAAATGATTGTAATATGTAAGTAAACTAGTGAAAACTGGAAATTGTAGCTCCTCCACAGCTCCCTATTAATGTTGATTCCTTTAAAGAGGTGTCATGTACGGGATGTTTTCTGTGACACTGTTCACTTGGGTAGATTAAAGGTTACATTTATCATCATGAAGCAAGACGAAAATACCACAGTGCATGTTACTTGAAGCCTAGGATGTACTAGCAATCAGTTTACCACTGTTTTGCTTACGAATGTTCACAATATTAACAGTGACTTTAAATGCTTTTTATGATTCAGTCTCCCTTTCAGGAGCCTCTGCTGCTATAGAGGACCACGAGGTGGCGGACATCACAGCCACGTGTACAGCGGAACTAGCCAGTGTGGCCAGCGGCTTCAGCAACTTCAGTCAGGAGAATGGACACTCTGATCTCAGCGCTGATAGCATCAGTCTGGAGAAGTCGGACTCAGAGACAGTAGTCCGGCGTAAGTTTGTAACTCATCTCAGCTGGTTAATCTTGTTGTACATGTCAAGGATTTGAACTGTGGAGCTCAGTGGTTGGGCACCTTGTCCACATGACCAAAGAGGTTAAATCAGCTGACAAGGTGTGTTTGTCATCAGAGGGATGGCTCCATGTCCTGCTTCATATAGATGCAGTTTTGCTGCAACCAGTGTATTGGGTGATCTGGATCAATAACATGACTGATTGAGTGCCATTGTACCTCAAGGCTGTGGGATGTTCCTCATAATATCAGTCTGTAGTTCAGGTCCAGATTTGATTATTTACAAGGTGCCAATGTTTAGTGTAGCATTATCAGGACACAAACAAACCTGTGCAGAGAGAATCTTGAGTAGCATCTTCTGGGGCACATGTTAAATATTTATTGGGAAAACATGTTGTGAAATGAATCAATAGTATGTTCCATTCTATTCACATTCAGCATCAAGAACACCCTCCCCTGTGTCTGTGCGGTCCAAGTCTGGTTCTCGAACACCGTCACCTTCTGTGGAGTTGATCTCAGACAGCCAGCATAAAGACAGTCCCACACCTGACCGGGACAGTCTCCACATCGACATGGTGGCAGGACCTGAAGACACCTCCCTCAGTCGAGGTAACCAACACCAGACTTGGCACCATCTAGTTATACTGTCTTCCGTTAACTCTGTTAACTTTGTCATTTTAATGTAACCTTCCCCTATGCAGTCACCCTACATAAACACCAACATCCCCACCATCACCGTCCCACAAGATGTCGCTTGAAAATCACAGATCTGTTTCTGACCAGTTCATGTAAAACACAGTAAACAACACAGTTGTCAACTTTTCCATCATTGTGTATTAGAACTAATCTGCCAGTTTGGCAGGAAGATGTGAGATGTTAATAATGAGTTGACTGACATGTCATATTTTCAGTTTGCCAATGGGACAACTATTTTGGAATTTCTGGTCCTAGTTTTGTAGACCCAACTACACTAAGCTGAGTTTAGACAGCTGTATTTACAAGTTCAGTTTTGACTAAAGTAACGGTTATTGGCATTGATGAAGAGGATAATGGGGCATGGTATTACTACATCTGTGTTTCAGATTCCCTGAATGAGTTTAAGAGTGTGATGGCAGGGGGCGCTATGTCTGGCTGGATGCCAGATGTCGCAGTGGTGTTGTGGCGGAGGATGCTGGGATGCCTTGGTGATGTCAACCAGATACAGGACCCTGTCATACACGAATACGTCTTCGACTATCTGTGTGATCTGGCCGAGACGCTCATAAGGGTGAGTCAGTCTGGGGAGCTGCTACTAGGTGCATATTGAGGATTAGTTACAGGTGTTACCTGACACAGGATGTATGATTGTGTAGGCTGTTACTGACTGTCGCGCACCGGAATATTTGCAGGAAGCCTTGACATGGCTAGAATGCCTGCGAAATAAAACAATAATCACTCACATCTGAATTGTCCATGGTTTAGCTGGATGTTGGAAATTTCTTGCAATGCAAAGGGAGGTAATTCTGGTAGTTGTATGTCCTGGATGGATATTAATGTTACACTTATCTTATCTTATTGAGTTGATAACAACTAGGAATCACGGCGAGGGAATCATGACTAACAACTGTCAACCACTAGGAAATCCCAATCTATCCTCATTATTTACAAGCCAGTGTGAAATTTGATAACAAGGATTTTTATATATTGTACTGTTGTATTTATTTATCACATGTTCTACATAAACTGTTTACTGCAGTAAAGTAGTAGTACTGTTCACGATGATTTAGTCCCGAAAGTAAAGCTTTGATAATGATCATGACCCATCCTCACTATTCTGTAAGAACATTTGTCGATATCCTCCACAGATGCGTGAAAACCTGGGTGTGACTCAGGACAACACCTCCTCCCCTCCTCCGCCAGAGTTGATACCACCCCACCACATCTTTGCTACATGGTTGTTTGAGGTACGTTGGGAGACATGCCCTGGATGTCAGAGATGAAAAACACTAACCCTGTAACCTCAGTTTACTTCAAGTAATGGATATGTTTGTCCTTCTTGTTCCAGTCATTAAGCTCCATCAGTGTTCACCTATATATCATCATTAAGATATACATCACATACTGGTATGTATATCATGCACCAAACAGGCCATCTCTCAGGATTATGCTATAAAATCACCACCCCTTGAGTGTATTGTAGGGTCCTTTACATTTGATGTGCCATGTGTTTGTGTACTAAAGTCACTGTGAGATTCCCCAGCCTATTGTTTGCATATTGTCATGGACGTGAGTCTCCATTGCCTGATATGTGTTACAGTGCCTTACTCTGAACAACAAGTACAAGAAGGGCAAGTTGCTGGCGTATCAGCTTATCTGCCAGATGCTGGTCCGTCATCACGATGTGACACCATCACAGGAGATCTTGTCTCACTTCTACTATGTGCTGCACCATGGGCTGGTGGCTGTTGACCAGGTCAGTGACACGCTCCCTCCCATTTCTCTGTTCCATACCCCACACTCAGCCCATGTTCTGCTCCACATGTTGTTGTCCACCTTTGTATCCCCCCCTCCTCTCAAACTCCCTTCCCTAGAGGGTAATTGTAGTCATTTCTTCCTTTGAGAAGAAAATGGCCACATTTTTTTATTTTTTTTAAAATTCATGCGCCAGAAAGAATAGAAACAATTTTTGATACAATTTTATTACATTCATTGAAAATTAAGAATGCCTTGTTTGAAGGAAGATAGGAAAGGAAAAAGGTGAAATTGTATGTTAAATGCCCAGTACCTGTAATATGAAGATAATTTCTTATATATTTTTGTATTTAAGTCACTTTGGATTCATTGTTTTATTTTGATTTATTTTCAGGATGTAATAAATGTATTAGTACGAAATAGCGGACCCAAGTATTTTTCTCTTCCACTTCCCGGCAACCTACTGCTCATGATGGATTTTGTACATGCAGCAGGGACGATCATTTCAGCTGTTGATGTTAAAGCAGTAAGTTTATCTACTTTCTATGACAATTATATGTACAATTTGGTCCAGAGCAGTCATTCAAAGGATCAGGTGGTCAGATGTGGTGGCTTTGTTGTAAACATGACCTCATACTTCAACAGTGTTGGTCATTGCTCACAATATTCATCTCTGGATATTCTTGCCCAGACTCGATTATTTACTGGCTGCTATCATAAGTCTCGAATATTGCTGAGTGTGGCTTTAAACAACAAGTGACCTGTCTGTACTGCTACCACTTCAGCAGTACAGACTTCAGCAGTACTGTCTTTAGGTGTTGTCAAGACAGGTATAGAGCTTGTAAATGCAACCTGTATTACAGACACTGAAATGTGGAAAGTGAAACACTTTGGACACAGGGAGTTGATTGTTAGCCAGCTGATTGTTGGTTCAAATCCATGATTCAGGGCTTGATCGATCCCAAGATGTGACTAATATTGTCAAATACATTCTTTAATTAAAGAAAGGCAAACCTCACAGATTTCAGTGCAAAGTGTAGATGTCAATAAGTTTATGAGTATGTGAATCACCTACTCCTAATAAAATATATGTACCAGTATGTTTCCTTACAGTGTTGATCCATTGTGTACTTTCAGCCCCCACGTTCTGAGGCTGTGTCTGTGCTCGGTGCTCTGTTGTGCTTTCCTAATCATTTCCTGGAGTTGCCAGTATTAAAGCCAAACTCTGTAGATATTTCTGTTTTAAAGTGTAATGAAATGAAGGTGAGTCCAAGACGAACGGTTTCCACCAATAATTGTTCATTAGGTATGTAATCTTAAAAGCAACTTGCATTCTGAATTTGAATATTGAAACAGAAGGTCAAGGTAAACAAAGATGTTTACACTATATACAGTGAAACCTGTCTAAACCGGCACCCCGCGGGACTGAAATAAAATGCCAGTTTAGACAGGGTGCCGGATTAGACAGTGACGATCATTTTCCAACATGGCTGCTGTTTACCCTCGTTAATCTCTTTATCTCTATTATGCCTATATGATCTTTTGTAATTGTGCAACAAATTAAAACAATGTTGATGACAAATAATTTGATATTTTGCTGCCTTTAGCAGCATCAGTCTTAGTAGCCAGTGTCTTGTCAGGTAACGCACGAAACACGTTTGATTCATCGCACAATCACTACTTCCTGATTATCTAGCATGCCAAGAGGTGTATATTGGATTATGGGTCCTTGATTGGACTGCTCATACCCATGTCGGTTTAGACAGTGTTAATTACAGTTAAAATTGCTTGTTGGAACCGGAAAGTCCTGCCGGAATATGGACTAGACAGGTGCCGGATTAGACAATGTTTTAATGATCATAATATCGTTGTAAAATGGCGGGACCAAAATTTTATGCCGGTTTTGACAGTGTGCCGGAATAGACTGGTGCCAGTGTTGGCAGGTTTCACTGTATGTTGAAAGAAGTACAGTAGAAAGAACAACATGTGAACTTTTCATAATTTCTCAGTTACATTATTATGCTTACTATGATACTGTAGTTTATTGCAGTCATTTTCCAAATATTTCTGAAAATATACAAGCTGAAATGACATAAGTATATTGCAACATAAATGGTGAACAGAGCTTCCTTGTGCTCTTACAGTGAAGGTATGTGGAAGTCTCTGGAGATGGAAGTTAACTTTCGTGTTGCTCTGTTTCAGGATACGGTTGTTAATTTATTGTTGAAGGCAGGGAAGAGAGAGCCAGCTGGTCTGGCCAGGTAAGTGCCCTGATTACTATTATTGCTTTGAAAAGCATGTGGCTTAGCTGCAGTGCAGTTGTTAACGGTAACATAAACCTGAAACCCTTCATTTTAAAAAGCCTCAACCATTGCACTAAGAAACTGTTGTCTTAAAATATATAACTAGATACTACTGTTTCATTTCCATTTGATATCATCACTCTTCTCATAAGGGTGCCATTGTAGGAAGCATTCCTTGTGCTAAGATGTTCATAACTTCTACAGTTAACATAGACTAACAAAAGTCGTAACGCAAAGGTTGTTTTGTACAACGGCTCATAGAGGTACTGATTTATGTGAATATTTATGGGTCAATAAACCATTACCATGTTTCCATAATACAGGAATGGCAATTTTCCGCTGATCCACGGAGTTCAGACGATTTTGTTTCAAATTGATCAATTCTGTGAATCGTCTAAATCTGTTGAATCCCATTCAACCCCCAAATTGATGACACAATATTAAGTTTTCAGCTGAAAATTGATTTTCTGTTGCCATCCCTGAATATATTAGGGGACCCATTTGCTGAAAAGAGAACATAATTTATCAACTTGCCCCAAATATCTGCTGTCAGTAATGCTGTGATGTTGTTGTTTCAGATGTATTGCTGTCAGCAGTGTTGGTATATACTTGTATGAGGAGCTCACCCACGGCACACAGCACCCCAAGGTCAAGGAAGGAGTCCAGGTCCTGCTCACTGCATTAAAGGTAACGCCTTGACTCTTCCCTGTGGTTTTCATGGTTCAGGACTAACTATGCATCGTTTATCCTATCAGGCTCTTGCATATGTCCAAGTCACAAACACAAGTTGAGGCACTCTTAGCACTGTGACAGGTGGTTTGGGTCCAGTATCATCTTTGTCATCTGTTGTTCATGAAATCTCAAGGTCAGTTAGGTCTCTTCTTCTAAGTTCGTTAACAGATCTTACATTGTTTCATATTGAAAACTGTGTGGGTGGTAGACAGTTTGGTATAATATGATGGTTAATGGAGAAGGTATTCCTGCAAAATTATCCGTTTCACGTTAATACTCAATCTTTTTACAACCCAGGTACATATAACATTTTATAGTTTATGGGCAAAGTACAATGAAATCTAATCAATATGAAAACTATTCAGTCTAATCTGATGTCGCCATGTTAACTTAATGATCATTACAGAGTTGTCCCTTTTTATGATGGAGCTAATATTGACCCTTCAATTTTCTTGAACTACAGATAATTTAAAATATGTTCCATGATCAAAAATGTTTAAGCCAAATGTTACTTGTACTGGGACAGTTGTATGAATCGCAGTATCACCATTTCAGTTTGTACAACTTTTTTTACCAACAACTCAAGTCAGTTATCAAATGTTTTCCAGTCCAGTGAGAGAAATTATTTTGATTCACAGTTAAATCATTATTACTTTAAATTCTTTTTCATAGAGATCATCCTTGGGGTACATATATGCATTTCTGCGACTGAAAATGTCATGTGACAGTTGTATCAATGTTTTGATAAAATATTGTACAATAAATAAAAAGCCTTTTTTTTTATCTATCATACGGCCCCCACCACCACGTGTAGTTACCTCCCTGCCACACATGCGTGGCCAACCAGGTAAGCACCCAGGCCCGTATCATCATTCCTTCTGCTGTCATGCATCGTGTTCAAGTGCCTTGACTGTGCTGACCAATTCCAAGATGTGTTAGTCTTCAACTACAGTGTGTATGGTCTTTATTCGTTCTTTAGAGCGCTCTTTTGACTTTGCAGTTAGTTATTTCTCATTTATGTGACTTTTGTATTAAAATTTTACGCTCGCTTTCCCATGGTTTACGCACGTGTTGCTATTCCATGGCGGGAAGTTTAGCGTGGCACGTGGTTGAAATATTGCTTTATATACAATTATTTGAAGTTGCATTGTCGCATTCACTTATTTTCAATGTTTTTACGTGTTATTGCTGTTTCTGTTGTATTTGGCCGTTAGCTACATGCGGCAAAAATTGCCACCACAGGACAAACACAAGAAGTGTTTATGCTGCCTAGAGAAAGCTGGGCACAACCCAGACGTGTGCATGTTCTGCATTTTCCCAGAAGCGAGCTGCATATTTCCTCTTCTGTGAGGAATTGAGGGAGGCAGGAGGGGACCCGGCTGAGGAACTTCCCCAATCTAAATCTAAAAAGGCTAAGAAGCCTAGCAAACCCAAATCTTCAGGTTCTAAAGAATCTCAACCTTTTGATATGTCATTAATACAACAGATGTTTCAGCAACATATGGACTCGATGAAGTCTCTCATCCATGAGTCAGTTGGAGGACCGAAGAAAGACGCCGCGGGTTCGACCCATTCTCAACCTCAAGGGGTTGAATCGCATGATAGAGATTCCGTCCTTCAAGATGGAGACACTTCGGTCGTTGATCTCTTCTGTTCAGCCCAGCGATTGGCTCACTTCAATCGATCTAAAGGATGCGTATCTTCATTCACGGGAATTCATCCCATGTTACCAAGCTCATGTTAGTGCCAGCTACTCTCGTGCGGTCACAAGGAAGGCATTGTCACCCTTACCTGGACGACTGGTTGCTGCGCACACTAACTCAGCCAGCGAGTTTAGATTCTACTCACACGTTGATAGACATTCTAGTTCGACTGGGGTGGATCATAAACGTCAAGAAATCCGACCTGGTACCCACCCAGGACTTGGTTTTTCTCAGGGCGCGGTTCACAACTCAACAAGGTCTTGTGTCTCCGTCGCCCGACTGGATCACCAGAGTACGGGAGATGGTGTCTTCGTTATTCTAACAGCCCTAGGCGCCGGTGCGGACTGGCTCCGTCTGCTGTGTCATATGGTGGCGACCGTCTCTGTCGTGTGGAGGGCGCGGTTGAAGATGCGCCCTATACAGCAAGCTTTGGCGAGTCTGTGGGCTCACTCGGAGGATCTGGAGAAGTGTCTCACAGTCCCCGGGTGGTTGTCTCCTCACCTTCAGTGGTGGACCGATGTCGGGAATCTCTCTAAATGGGTCCCTTTGGACATCCCGATGCCAGTTCTTACAGTTCAAATGGATGCATCACTCTCGGGCTGGGGTGTGTGTTCTGGTCAGTCTGTCCATGTCCGGATGCTGGTCTGAAGCCGAAGTCCGTCTTCACATCAACATGTTGGAACTGAGAGCTGTGCGGTTGGTTTTCGAGCGCTTCCGGGAGCATGTTCCAGGCCAGGTTGCTCATTTTCAGTTAGACAACCGCACGGCCATGACGTACATCCTGAAGCAAGGCGGCACGATGTCCCAAGCGCATGGGAATTTCTCCTCTGGTGCGACCAGTGCGACTGTCAGGTGATTCCTGTCTATCTCCCGGGGCTAGAGAACGTGCGAACAGACGCGCTCTCTCGCCAGGTCCTGGTCCCGCACGAGTGTATGCTCGATTGGCAGATATTCAGAGTTATCTCCCAGTTGTACAGATCGTTCCAGATGGATCTGTTTGCGTCTGGCGGGACGAATCAGATACCTGCGTTCTGCTCTCGAATACCGGACCAGAGGGCGTTGGCTTCCGACGCCTTCCTGCTGGATTGGATGGGCAAGATACTGTGGGCGTTTCTGCCACTACCTCTCATTCCCCGGGTCCTCTCCCAGCTGTCCACCCAGCCAGCTCAGCTACTTGTGCTTCTGGCACTGCTTTGGCCGTCACAGAGCTGGTTTCCGGTAATTCTCAGGTTTCTAGCTCAGCCTCCTGTTCTATTACTCTTACGACCGGACATTCTCACTCAGAACGGCGTGCCACACCCCAATCCAAGCATTCAGTGGGTGTCTTGGCCTCTGTCAGGTCTAGCCTCGAGGCACGCGGAATTCCTGCAGCAGTTGCAGACACAATTCTGGCTTCGAGGCGGGATTCGACAAACGTTTAGTAAGAGGATAGGTGGTCCCGCTATGCGCGCTGATGTTCAGATAGCGGAATTGCAGATCCCTTTTCTGCAGATTTAGTCCCAGTTTTGAAATTTCTGCAGTCTCGTTTGGAAGAAGGTTTGGCGGTTTCAACCATTCGTGGCTACTCCACCACTATTTCCACCTTTCACACCCCTGTCGATGGTGTTCTTCAGGGGCAGCACCCTCTTATGCAGCGCTTCTTAGCTGGCGTGGATCGGGTTCGACCTGCTCTCAGGCGTACCAGCCCACCTTGGGATTTGTCAATTGTACTAGATTGGCTGTCACGTCTATTGGCTATTTCCATTCAGCTGTTAACATGGAAGGCCGTTTTTCTTGTGGCGGTGACATCTGGGAGAAGTGTTGGTGATTTACATGCCATGTCTGCAGACCCGGCACTGACTGTGTTCCATCCAGATCGCATCAGTATTCGCCTCCCGGATAGTTACTGTCCGAAGATCAATCACGCTTTCCAATTTGACAGCTCTTATTGAACTTCCTATTCTATTAGGCTGGAACTCCTGCCAGCAAACAGACACTTTCTCGCTGGCTTGTGTCGGTCATTTGTGCTGCTTATCAGGCTAAGGGCAAGCCTCCCCCTGTGGGTTGTAGGCTCACTAGGTCAGGGCAGTGGCCACTTCAAGGCTTTTGCAGCGGCACTGCATTTTGAAAAGATTTGCTCCGCAGCTATTTGGAGCCGGCCTAGCACTTTTATACGGCACTATCAGCTTGATACACATTCCCGTGATCGAGCGCGCTTTGGCCGATCTGTTCTCTCCAGTGTCCTGCCACCCTGACCGAGTGAGTCTTGGTTATTTGGTTTTATGGCGCTGAGGTCAATTGTTGTGATAATTGACATATACGTTGTTGAATTCTACTACAACTTTCAATTTCTCTGATGAGGTATTCGGTTGTGAGTTGTGGTTTCCCCCTTACAGTACTCTCTAGAGATTTCACTAAGTGGGCAGGGTTTTAATTACACACTATGTGATGTGTTTTTTATTGCTTAACGTGTTGATGTCGGTCCTCAGTACGTTTCCTCTCTGTCGGGTCACTTCCCATAATGCCTCTCGCGGAAGCTTCGGGACACGTGACAGGTGAGTGTTATGGGTGTAAGTAACTTTTCGTTTACGTGATCGCTATTTATTTGTACTGTGACAGAATTCCCTCCTCCCTAGCCTCCGGTCTTTGGGAGTCTGTGTTAATGCATATATGTACCCCAAGTACGATCTCTATGAAAAAGTATTAGATTAACCTGTAGAGGTTTCCAATTCTTTGAAGAGAATCGTCCTTGGGGTAGGGCCGCCCACCTCCCCGCCATTGTGTTCACTGATTTGTTCAGCAGAAGGAATGATGATGCGGGCCTGGGTGCTTACCTGGTTGGCCACGCATCTGTGGCAGGGAGGTACTAAAGCCTTTTTATTTATTGTAAAACATTGATACAACTTTCACATGACATTTTCAGCCGCAGAAAATGCATATATGTACCCCAAGGACGATTCTCTTCAAAGAATTGGAAACCTCTACAGGTTTATCTAAATAGCATCTAGAAGTTGACATGTACAGGGATGGAGATAAACCAAAACAAATCTAACAAGCCTACAAGCTTACTCAGATAGTTCTATTTCTCACTAGACCTGCAATAGGTCACTAGTCCTTATATATAAAAGAAGACAGTAAATTTCAATCTTTAACTAGTCATTAATACATTAAAATATTGGGACTCAGAGTATATAAAACATCGGAACATTTGTAAGAGACGACTCAAAACAGGCCAAGTGTCTAGCACAGTGTTTTCACTCAGAATTGAGAAAATGAGACAGTATACGGCATATGTCAAAAGATTTACAGATGCATCATGCCAGTAGAGTATAAATTTTCTGCTAGCATTGGGCCTACAATCAAGCATTAATTTCCATCCCTGCATGTAGTATCTCAGAAGACCAGGTTTAATTGCTAGATGACGATTGTTGTATGTGATGAAGTAATGTGTGCATGATAAGCATTGTTGATACAGTGCTGCTCAAATCAGAAAATCATTTTAAATCTTACACCTATACCCCTATACTCTCTTGTTGGACTTTCTATTTATTTATTTCACTCCAAGTTGATTTACATTGATAAATGATCAGCTTTCAATGAAGAATGCCGTCAAAATGTGACATAAATGTTTTCTTGGAAACTCATTGACCAGAGTGATACTTTGATACTTTTATGAAATTAACCTTACTTGCTATAATGGATGTATTTGTTTGGCTTATATTTAAAGTTTGTTTGATATTTATGGTTTGCAATAACAGTTATAACTGTATATTTCTAAATAAAAGTGTACAGAAACTAGCATCTTCCAATTGTGTCCCACAAAGTATTGTGAACGTTAAAGACACTGCAGTAATTTCTTCAGGAGTGTGAGAAACCACATGTGTCAAAAGGCTACCATCAAAAGAGTGATGTGAATAGCAAGGTAACGGCATCTCTCCTCCCAGTCCACGCTGCACCGTGTCAATCATTGCATGACAGTCAACAGCACATGAAGCTTTCCCTTCTATATACCTGCACATCAACAGTTACATTGGACACAACTGTTTCTGTTCCCAGTTAGAAACTTATTGAGCTATAAGTCTGTGCTATAAGTTGCATGTGTCACTGCCAGTGTAAGGTATGGCTTTGAACACAACCCATGGTCAAGTTTACGTAAGCTCGTAAAGTCCCATATGCACTTATATGTTAAAGACACAAGTAACTCGTTTATAATTATGAGTTCACATGTTACAACACTTGATATCATTTATTTGTATCAGATCCACATCACGACTGTCTACTGTGAAGATCTGGGTTAGAAATGGCTTTCAGTAGCCCATGTTTGTTGTAAGAGGCGACTAACGGGATCGGGTGGTCAGGCTCGCTGACTTGGTTGACACATGTCATCGTATCCCTATTACGAAGATCGATGCTCATGATTTTGATCACTGGATTGTCTGGTCCAGACTCGATTATTTACAGACCGCCGCCATATAGCTGGAATATTGCTGAGTGCAGCGTTAACCAACCAACCAATCATGACTGTCATAGAACTTATAATTATGATGTGACAAGCATCTGACATCATGTCAAAGGTGTCATGTTGTCAGTATGGTATACAAGATGGGTACTGACAAATCAGACACCTATCTTTGTGAATACAACACTGTTTGACAGTGTGTGCCCACTTTATGGGTATGACAAGTGTTGAAGACTAAAGACTAATTTACTGACAGGAAACTTCTGAAATGTTCTTGTGCACATGCACCACCCAGCACTGCACCTTCACTGTTGCAGAAGCAGTCCACTGATATGTCTTGTTATCTTCCCTGTGATTTGCAAAACACTGTATTATGTCACTTGGGCCCCATTAGAACTTATCCAATTGTGCCTGATCCACCCACATGGTGTCAGACCAAAGGTTGATACAGGTTATTATTTGCTCACATGACATTAAGTCATGTGAGCTTATATTGTGACCTTTTAGCCGGGCATACCTCATCCTCTCAGAACCACAGGACCAATAGAGTTTAAACTTCATGTTTGTTCCAGCCAATGAATACACATCAGTTGCCTCCTTCATTGTGGCTTCCACAGCAGCCATATTGAAAAACATATTTATTGACAGTAGTTAAAGACAAAGATATTTGGTGTCCATATAGTTACAAGTAGGACAAGCCATATTGTCAAATGTTTCCTTTATTTGATCTATGAGTTTAAAGCATAGTGTAAGCTGAAACCACCTATGCCTAATACTCAGCCGTTTCATTCAAAGTGTAATGAAATTTGATTGATTGGTAGTAGTTGGGCTCAATACATTTTATGTTTTCCTGTATCTTAATTGTTTACCCAGTTTTTACCATGCTTTCATAAAGCTTAAAATGCATATTTTGCTCTCCGATACCACTGCTTCCCTTCATGATGGCACCATATATTTTTTAAATCAGTGTTAATGCACAATATATTTAAGTATCAACACTCATGGCAACTTTGGTAAAGCAACTTTTTTTGGTTCACTGATTGTGCCTGATCAGAGAAAAGGTGAAGGTAGTTTCACCAGATATGGGTGGATTTTGAATAAGGAGTCACCTGTATGACGAAATGATAAAGTGTCAATACACATACCAGAAGCACAATGGGAAGCTGACGTATGTAATTTTCAAGACATTCCTGCACATGTTCCACCATGTTGAGGTAGAGGTGGTAGTGAAGCACGTGGATCTCCACACTGTTGTGTACATAGATAAACATATTCATAGATAAATGGGCGTGGCTTCTGTACCGTGGTCGGCATTTCCCATCACTCAGTGCTTATTGTGACTGCATTTGGCTATAAAGTGGTTGGTATTGTCAACTACTAAGAAGTTTCTGTATATATCCTACAGTGACTTTTTTGGTTGACTGATTGTGCCTGATCAGAGAAAAAGGTGAAGGTAGTTTCATTTTACTTCAGGAACTTTAAAGTGATTGTATTTTACAATATTGAACCATGTTGAACCACTTCACAATATCAGCTTTCTTTGGCTGAGACCTGCCTCCCTTCTGGCCATCATGGGGAGGTAGGGTAGCCTAGTGGTTATAGCGTTAGCTTGGCATTCCGAAGACCCGGTTTCGATTCTCCACATGGGTCCCCCACCGTGATATTGCTGGAATATTGCTGGAATATTTCTAAAAGTGACTTAAAACCATACCCTTTCACTCTGGCCATCATGCTTTGAGGCTGACATGCCATCATATAACTGCCTGAACTAACTCTGATCCAGTGGCATTAAACCCTAAACCCAGCTCATACTGTTTGGGTGTTAAGTATTCATTTTGTGAATGAAGCTGTGAACAGTGTATGTAACAGACAGCAATTGCTGTAAGTGCATGTTTCTGATTTCTGAGCCAGATTAGATGTTCCTGAAGTTAACATCCTGCTGCTGATGTTTGTGGTTAGATGTTGGGGTCATGTCGGTGATGTTTGGGCCATGTGTGTGATGTGTGGGTGTGTCTTGTTCCAGTGTGGGTACAGGAAGGTGGCCAAGGTGGGCTCGGACATGCTACTGTTGCTGTGTGATCACTGTGAGGTGTTGCTGACACACTACCCCTCACTACCCAGGACCATTGTGGAGGTATGTTGTGTCACGTGGCCCTGTTGTATAGGATCAGCAAGCGCATTCATTCTTAGTGTCAGCAACCAAGTAATTACATGGAGTTTATTTTAACATATATTCCTATCAGTCCATGTTGTATCAAACTGAGGGTTTTAAATAGGTACATGGTGAAATGTTTTACTAGTTCATTGCACCAGAATGGACTGTTAGAGGCTTCAGGAAACCAGATGGCTAGATTTCACTGTCAGCCGGAGCAATCTTATGCTTTTGTGAAGATCTTTTTGTTTTCTTTTTTTTTGGCATAGCCTGCAAAACTCTAACACAAACTCTTCACAAGGCCTCTGTCTCATTACATGTAAAGTGTTGTCTCATGAATGATGCTGTTTCCATGAAATGATGAAGGGAGTTTATCAAGCTCCCGTGGTAAAGTCTGTTGCCAGATGATGAATGTATCTGCATCAGTATCCATCACTGACTTACTTCCCCTGTTTTCAGTTCATTGCCCAGACCATCTCCTCCTTGCTACAAGCTCAAGAAACATCCAGTGTAGAAGAGGAGAAGAGAGTGAGTACATTCCCTCACTCCTGTTCCATGACTACAAGCTGTTCCATGTTCAAGCCAGATAATGTCCACAATGCTAAAAATATTTTACAGCAAATTCTTTCCAAATTCATAAACTTACATAATAATGTGTTTTGTCATATGATTAATAGTGTTACTGATGAGAAATTTCAGTCTAATAAAAATGGTTTGAAGATCCAATATCTTAGAGAGGCATTTGTTACTGTGTTTTGGACGCATTGACACAGTAGGTTCCAGTCTAATGCCTACATGCTGTTACGCCCGCGTTTTACGTCACGTTTTGTTTGCTCCATTACTGCAGCTGATTGTAGCCATGATGTTCTGTATGGTGGAGTGGTGCCTGAAGATCCCCATGCAGCTGTTGATGGAGACGACAGATTCAGAGAGAAGCTGTATATACAAGGTCTTCAGGGTAGGTCACAGACTCTGTATAGTAGTGTTAAATAGTTTATTGAGTAAGGAGTGCATTTAGTGCAGTGAAACAAGTATTATTAGGTACACTGCAGTAAAGTTTTCAGAAAGTATGTATTACAATATCTTTTTGTGTTGATCGATGCTCATGCTGTTGATCACTGGATTGTCTGGTCCAGACTCGATTATTTACAGACCGCAGCCATATAGCTGGAATATTGCTGAGTGAGGCGTAAAACTAACTCACTCATTTACTCCACTCTTTTGTGTTCTGGTATATTGAGCAGAAAATATGTAAGAAATTTGGTTGTTATTCAATTGTTTTGCCTAATATGTAACCAGAAATTAATTCATGTTGCCCCTCAGAATTGATTGACAAATCAAAGGAAAAGCGAGGACAATTTTGCCTCTCTCATTGTTATCTTGCCTGTGTCCAAGACTACAGGGGTATTTGTTTTTACCTGGTAAGATGTTCACCATTAAGTTAATGACTTGAGTATATGTACTATATCCTAATGGAGTATCAATGTTAAATTGATAGTAGCTCAGTGGGCTAGCATTTTGAAACCACCATTTGCATAGACCGCAAATGCATCTGCAGACATACATATGGATGCATGTTGCAGTGATCTTGTTAGACCACATTTCACCTCACCTCACCTCACCTCATTAACTTCACCTTTCCTCACTTTCCGTTTGATTCAGGTCCTTCACAGTGCAGTGACTGGCCACAGTGCAGCCTCCTTGTCCCGGACCAGCAAGTCTCTGGCTGACTTCATCCAGGACCTTGACATGGACAACATTGTGGACAACCAGAGCACCAGCAGTGGTGGCTCGCCAAAAATGACATACGATGGGCCAACGGAACCAGTCACAGACCAGCCAAAGACCACAGACACTCCCAGGAAACCTGAAACCGACATTGTCAAATTGGCAGCAAGAACGGTAAGCCTTATAAGAACATCTTGAAGCTCCTATGTCCCATGTAAAGCTTATGTAAAATCTACTGAGTTTTATGTAATGGTCTGTTAATAATTTCTTTGTTGCCAAACATACCTTGTAGTTATCATCATCAGTAACACCTCCTGTTGGGGAATCAATGTCTACCAATGATTACACCAGAGTTTGTTGAAATTGGGATATGATCTTGACAAGATACTAATGGCAACCACCAATGCATCCATTAAACATGGGTGAATGGTATCTGTAAAATAATCAGCAAGCCATGAAGCTGTACTGTGTCCTCACTGATGTGTACGACAGTCAGTGACTCTCCTGTTTGACTCCAGATGATGACCCACCTTGTGAACCACCTGAACCACTTCCCTATGGGTTCGGGGGCCGCCCGCCTCAACTCCAACGTCCAGGAACACCATGACATCCCCAACTACCTGGACGAGGAGCTGAAGCAGGACATCTTCTCTGCTCCCAATGTACAGGTAGGAACACATGCTCACTTAATGGCTAACTCTGAATCACAGTTTGTTCTGTGGTTGTGCCCCTAAGCCAGGATCAATTTGTGGCAGGTTTTGATACCAGATATAACCATGTATTGTGATCCTTGATCTGCCAGCAACCTTTATTCCAGCATCCCATACCCCAGCACCCCAATTCATATTTGGTGGACATGCTGTGATATAATAGCAGTACTGTTTGGAGCTCTTACATCTTGTCAGGGGTGGAAATAACTTTAAAATTGCTAGTGTACTCTGGTACAGTGGCACATGTAAATCACTTGCCCTGACAATTTTTCCACTATACCGTCCGTTTTCTTGTTGATTTTTTAAATAAACAACATAATTAACATTGGAAAGTCAACTGGACACTGGTACAGTGTGATATACAAATTTGCTTGCCCGACAGAAAAAAACACTGGACCCGGACATCGGGCAATGGGTTATTTCCACCCCTGCTTGTAGCTGTCTCCTTGTTGAATAATGTGTAACCAGTATTGCATGCTTGTCAAAAGAGAGGATGAAAGAGGATTGGATTGTCAGACTCGGTGACCATGATATGGCTCAACTATTGCTGACTCTGGCGATGAACCATATTTACTTCATAAAAACATACTGTATTCTTTAAGAGATGAAACTGATTAGTTATTGTGATGGTTTTGGGATGTTTTACGACCTGACACATTTTTTATTGTTGTGTTTCAGTTCTTTGTTGTGAACCACAGAGCTTTGATCTCATTTGTTGAACTCCCAGCAGTGGTAAGACATCTTCAGATCTTTGTCACAGCTTTAGGAAAATATACTACTCCACTTTGATTAGGGTGTTCTGATAGTCCAGGTGTAGGCTGATTGCCTTGAGTAGTCCTAGACACACAGATAGCTGTTGATGGTTATTTGATTGCATCTCTCTTCCCAGTCAAAAGACTCACCAAATAACTTCTTATAAAAAAAGTGAGCCATATGCATAAGAAATTATTGGGCTTTCAAGTGAGTTTTCAGTCTTAGAAAGGGCTATAAAAGATTTCAGATGCTTTATAGAACACAAACAGTATGACATGGACACCTTGGACTTTCGTGTTTGTTTTAATGATATTGTTGTGTGTGGACATTGTTTGACCTGATGCTGTCCCTGCCCCAGGATGCCCCAGGGGGTGGAGTGACAGCTGGTCTGTCAACAGCACGCACGGTGTGTCGGGTGGTCATCAGGGACCTGAGTGGCAAGTACTGCTGGGAGAGCTCGGTTCTCTACAGCCCTCCATGGTGCAAGAAGGGCTCATCTCTACATAGTAAGTGTGGTCTCCATGAAGATATGTACACTTCCTTCTTAGATGCAGTAATGAAGCACCTGTGGGGATAGGGAGGGATTATTATCATTGGTTACAACTTGCATCATGTGTGTGTGGACCAACTTTTTAGATACATAATCACCATAGTATAGAAATACAACTTCCAGTCTTGACACCTCAGTGTATCAACTGTGTTAATGGTTGAGATTGGTTTTAAGATACAAGGTTCACAAATTAGATAAAACAGCACTGAAGTAGTCAGTAGTATAATATGTTTTAGAAGTATTAATGATAATCACCATTTTACAAATACATTGACTCAGCTGCCCCTTTACCAGTGAATCTGGTGGGTCATGTGTCACAAATGTATGGCAAGCGGATCAATAAGGGATTAATAATACAGTTTAACCTTGTTAATACAGATGGTGCCATCCTATGTGAAACCATACCAGTTCACAAATTCCTGATAAACGTGTCATTGTGATGGAGCATAGTCATGTATAAATATACTGTGGATGATTAACCTTATTTATGACAGAAGTTAATGTCTTGTTTTCCTGGATGATACTGAGTGCTCTGTTGTGGCTTTAGATGCTCAGACGCTGCTGACGATGACCACGGATATGGAACTGGAACCCCTCATCATTCAGGAAGACTCTGACATCCATGTGCCCGAGGTCAAACCAAGACGTCCTCCAACTGACCTCCCTCATGCGGAAGACATGGGCAGAACAGAGAACTGTCTGGACGATGTGAGTCTACCTTTTCTTGGAAGTAATGCATTTTCCTACACCCTTTTGTCATTTTGAATTGAGAGGTTGTATGTGTTCTGTAGTTTATGGAATCTTTGTTTATTAACACTTTGGTATATCATTGGCTCTATTGGAAGACTTCGTTAAAACTGGATGGTTTCATGTTTATCTTCGTTATTCATTTCTGCAGTGTCACAACTTTTCCTTGTGTTGCTTTCAGCTGCTGCGGTATATTGGTCATACTAGTCCCGAGTGTTTGCTCCGACTGGGAAACGCTCTGAATATCTCTGCACCAATCCCAGAAGATCTTGGTGAACAGGCCGAGACAATGATGACAGACATGGTATTACAGCAGAAAATTGCTGAGTTGGAGTACTACCACAAACACAAGTCTGACATGAGGTGAGTTTCAGGGAGTCTGGGGTCTGTGATGAGGGTTGTGTGGAGACTTTGTGGATCTGTGATGAGGGTTTGGTAGGAGTCTGTGATGAGGGTTTGGTAGGAGTCTGTGATGAGGGTTTGGTAGGAGTCTGTGATGAGGGTTTGGTAGGAGTCTGTGATGAGGGTTTGGTAGGAGTCTGTGATGAGGGTTTGGTAGGAGTCTGTGATGAGGGTTTGGTAGGAGTCTGTGATGTAGGAGTCTGTGATGAGGGTTTGGTAGGAGTCTGTGATGAGGGTTTGGTAGGAGTCTGTGATGAGGGTTTGGTAGGAGTCTGTGATGAGGGTTTGGTAGGAGTCTGTGATGAGGGTTTGGTTGGCATCTGTGATGAGGGTTGTGATGAGGGTTTGGTAGGGTTTGTCTGTGGTGAGGGTTTGGTAGGAGTCTGTGGTGAGGGTTTGGTAGGGTCTGTGATGAGGGTGTGGTGAGGGTTTGGTAGGAGTCTGTGAGGGTTTGGTAGGAGTGAGGGTTTGGTAGGAGTCTGTGATGAGGGTTTGGTAGGAGTCTGTGATGAGGGTTTGGTAGGAGTCTGTGATGAGGGTTTGGTAGGAGTCTGTGATGAGGGTTTGGTAGGAGTCTGTGATGAGGGTTTGCTAGGAGTCTGTGATGAGGGGTTTGGTAGGAGTCTGTGATGAGGGTGTGATGAGGGTTTGGTAGGAGTAGGAGTCTGTGATGAGGGTGAGGGTTGTGGTGAGTAGGAGTCTGTGATGAGGGTTTGCTAGGAGTCTGTGATGAGAGTTTGGTAGGAGTCTGTGATGAGGGTTTGGTAGGAGTCTGTGGTGAGGGTTTGGTAGGAGTCTGTGATGAGGGTTTGGTTGGCATCTGTGATGAGGGTTTGGTAGGAGTCTGTGATGAGGGTTTGGTAGGAGTCTGTGATGAGGCCGAAGGTTTGCTTGAGGTCTGTGATGAGAGTTACTAAGTACCAGTGTTAGTGATAGTTGATCTGTGATGTTGGGAGTTTGTATCATAGTGATCTGTCAGCTTCTGTTGTGGGGGAGTATGGATAGTTTTAACAAACTTTCATTTGAAACAAATTGATGATGATGATGATGATGGCCTGCGAGGCATGCATTATAGAGGCTGCTGACTGTCTGTAGAAAGATCAGGCACTGGTAACCTTGGAGTGTCAGGACCAATTAGTAGCAGTGATGACTCATTGGAACTTACTGAAACTATTACAATTAGTGACCATATTCTGGGAGGGGAGAGAGGTCTGGGATATTTTAAAAAATAAAATAACCCCAAAAAATTAACCTGAAAGATATTAAATTCCACACAAAAAATTCATTGTTGATTATCTGGTCCAGCACGTAGCACAATTCACATTTGACTGAACATGACTGTCCTAAAGGATTGTTTGATTGATCAGGGCAGTCCACTGTTGCACATTACACTAAGTACTGATTCACCAAATCAGCACAGTCACAGTTGTATCCTGAACTCATAAGACACTTGTCCACAGTTTTCCAAATGTCAGTACCATATGAATGCCATATAACTAATTGTTTTCACTTTTCACTTAATGTTTGTTTGACTTGACGCACATATAGCAACAATCACTTGATGTCAACTACCAGGCACAACAGTTGGCTAAGTCTGATAAAACTGATAACAGTGTATAGAAACAAGGACCGCTGTACATGTTTTACTTCACCAAACTCTCTTAAACATTTCTTCTTTTGAACTTTGTATGTACATTTCCACAAAGACTTCTAATAACCTCCTGTCAAAATTGGTGCATGCAATTCCACAGACTTCTAATTATATGCTGTTTTAACCTTAGTACATGCAAATTCGTTGCTTACATCTTCATGACTGTACCAGTCCCCTGAGAAGTCTGTGTTGTGTTAACCATAGTATGTCCAACTCCAAGTTGCACCCGAAGCGGTTGTATTCTTAGTTCTACTGAATGCCTGCCTGTTTCATGAGTTTACTAACAGCACGATTGGTTGCTCTTGTTCAGGCAGCTGGAGTCGGGACAGTAAGTGAAGTAGCCCCAGCCTCTCAGTGTGTCTGTCAGCTTACAAAATCATGGAAACCAAAACCAGTATGGCTCATGGGCTTAGGTAGTTGAGACTGACGTAACACTACTCTCTTACTGCATTCGTTACACAGGAAAAGGTTTCTCCCATGGTTAGATTAGATCCTCTGTAGCTATGGTGAGTATTTACCTGGTACACTTACAGGTGTTATTATTTGAGGATTTATAGATGTTATCGGTAGGTAACTGTGTTGCCCATGAGCCTTGCTGTGTGTTATTGTGTTCACTATTAATCTCTCACACACACTTCGCAGGAATGAAGGAACTGAAGTATCACATTTAATGCCCACATTTATGTTAACCTACTAATTTTAAACACATCTCCATCCCTTTGCAAGTTGTTAGACACATGTGAACAGTTTTCCATTATTTTGTGAGTCTATTCAATAATAGGACCTGTAATATTTCTTCACCTCTTATTGGTTATTTTGAAATCAGATATTTTTAATAGGACTAATTGTTATAGGCAGTTTTAGTCTAATGTTTGTTATTTTTACTAGATTTGTTAAAGAGACACTGACTACTTTTTTATATAATGCACTCTATTTTATGAGCTTATGCACTGGTCGGTACTTCTTTAAAGTGATGTGCTTAGTTTTCTTTTCAACCTTTCTATTTATTTTTTGTACATTTCTATTCAAGACAACTGTAACAAGTATTGTAATACCTGAGCTGTTGTCATGTTTTGTGTCTTACCTTGGTTATGGTGGATTTGATAACAAGACGTGTCGTAATTCACTGTAATTTGTTGTTCATAGCATTGATTGTTTCACCAAACAGTAATCACTGCTGGCTCAGATCCTGACCAGCACAAGGAATCATCATTAAAAGGAGTTACAAGTGTATTATGACTTGTGTCTATAACCAATATATATTTTATATACGCTGTTGATTTCAGTAATAACTAATTTAAATGTTAAAAGCAGAGAGTAATGGCCACTGTCAGTACTTTTCAAGTTGAAGTTTCGTATATTTACCATAAACAACTGTGACCAATATAATGATCTTTGGACAGCCTATTCACATTTGAAAATATTGTTTGAGTATATTATGTGCTGAAATGAGTTGTTTGGTGAATGTGATGCAGCAAGAACAAACATGATGTTGTCCACCTTCCCCTCCTCAGCATGCTGGCCAAGCCCCAGCTGCCAGCCGACATCCAGGATCCAGTCTCCCCCTTCCAGATGTGCCGCCTCGTCCTCAACCAGATGGGACTACTCTCCTGGGAGAAGAGGTTTGTTCATCTTACCTGAATTAAATTTGTTCTGATTTTCTCAGATTGTTAAGTTTCATAGAAAATAAAACAAATGAACATATAACAGGTTTAAATTACAGTATTTAAGTATGGGAAATTTTTTGGTATTGATAGTGACAGTACATGTTCTGTTTTGTTTGTTTTTAACGATTTACATATTTCTGGTCAGAGGAAACACTACTTTTGACATGTATATTTGTTTATTTGCTTAGTTTTTGTGAGTCAGCACATTTTAGTCAAGGTTTTAAGAAAGTCAGGCCAAATTCTTGTGTATATAGAGCATGAGCCCACTGGTGGTCTTTATGCCTCATCAGACTCACGCAAAAGATTTTAGGTGTTTAAGGTAGGGATGTAAAATTGATTCTGTTAGTGTATGTGACCCTGATAGGGTATGCCAGATCAATTCTGGTCACGTGAATGTTACATTAACTATAGTTATATGAAAGAATCAAACAGTCCTAATCTGTTTTTTATATGTGTATTTGTGTGTGAAATAGTGAATGTGTTTTTCCAGATGTCACTTTGACCTGATGAAGAAGAGTGACAAGTTACTCCGGGAACTCAAGAACCTGGATAATCAAATGTGGTAAGTGTGATGAGCAATAGGGTCAGGACAGAAGGTGTCTGGAGAGCAGGGACTGGTGGTGGTGTGAATCTTGGACAGGGGTCGCCCTCAGTCACTAGAACATGAACACTTGTACCTGCATACGGTTGTGAGACACACAAGATAGCTGAGACTGGTGGTGGTGTGAATCTTGGACAGGGGTTGCCATCAGTCACTAGAACATGAACACTTGTACGTGCATACGGTTGTGAGACACACAAGATAGCTGAGACTGGTGGTAGTGTGAATCTTGGACAGGGGTTGCCCTCAGTCACTAGAACATGAACACTTGTACGTGCATACGGTTGTGAGACACACAAGATAGCTGAGACTGGTGGTTGTGTGAATCTTGGACAGGGGGACTTGCCATCCCTCAGTCACTAGAACATGAACACTTGTACGCAAGATAGCAGATAGCTGGGACTGGTGGTAGTGTGAATCTTGGACAGGGGTTGCCCTCAGTCACTAGAACATGAACACTTGTATGCGCAGTAGCTGGGACTTGTGAGACACAAGATAGCTGAGACTGGTGGTTGAGTCACACATAAACACTTGTAAGTGCATACGGTTGTGAGACACACAAGATAGCTGGGACTGGTGGTGGTGTGAATCTTGGACAGGGGTTGCCATCAGTCACTAGAACATGAACACATATACATTGTACATGCATACAGTTGTGAGACACACAAGATAGCTGTTGATTTTTATTGATGACATCTTTCTTCCCAGTCGTGAGACACACAAGATAGCTGTGATCTATGTGGCAGAGGGCCAGGAAGACAAGATATCCATCCTCTCAAACTCAGGTGCCAGCAAGGCATTTGAGGAGTTCGTAGCTGGCCTCGGATGGGAGGTAAATATATCAGCTTCTTAAAAAATAAAGTCCTTTCAAACAGAAATTTTCTTTAACTGTCTATATTTTCTACCTGCAAGGAAGATGAGATAAATACAAATCAGTGTGTAATTAATCCACTGTTGCAAGCCAAATATGTTCAGTGGGTTAAGTTGGGATATTATTGTGTCTGCATGCACATTACAAGTTAAAATACAATGCTTTTGTGGGTACATAACAATACCTTGTGAGTACATTACAAAACTACAGTGATTGCCTACGTGCACATTTCAATGTTTGTGTGCTTGTGTCCATAACAATTCTTGATTGTTAGTGTAATGTTAGCGTACATGACAATGTTAGCGTATGTGTCAATGTTAGCGTACATGACAATGTTAGCGTACATGACACTGTTAGCGTACGTGACAATGTTAGCGTGCGTGACAATGTTAGCGTACGTGACAATGTCAGCATACATGACAATGTTATGTTAGCGTACATGACAATGTTAGTGTAGATGACAATGTTAGCGTACATGACAATGTTAGTGTACATGCAATGTTTGTGCCTGTGTCAGGTGGACCTGGAGACACACCAGGGTTTCCGAGGTGGGTTGCAGGCCAACAAGACCACAGGGGACACAGCACCATACTATGCAAACTCCACGTGTGAGGTGGTGTTCCATGTGTCCACTCGGATACCCTCCGGCAACGACGAGTCCAGACATATCAAGGTCAGTCCCTTATGGCGAAACACCAAGTAATTGACAATGCTAAACATTAATGTATGATGTGGTTTAGTGAAGTACATGATATCTGGAAAGGAATGTGCTTCAGCTTTCACTGATGAATAGTTGAAAATTACTGCTTTATGTGTTATGGAATATTTTCACTCACACAAATGTACTGAAAATATCCAGTAACTCTGTTCATATTCCCCAACCAATAACCTATTGCTATTTTCCCATTTTGTTCATTATTACCCATTGCAAAACACACTATATTACAATGTCGCATCCAAACTATGTGTGTACAATTGAATGTAATATCCAGTATGACAGCCTTGATACTAGACTTCTATCTCAGTCCAACTTTGTGTTTTCAGATGCGTCACTTAGGGAATGATGAGGTTCACATAATCTGGTCGGAGCATGTCCGGGAGTACCGACGTGGCATTATCCCCACAGAGTTTGGGGATGTTATAATTGTGATATACCCCCTTCCTAATGGTCTGTACAGGATACAGATCAACAGGAAACAAGAGGTGGGACTTGACCTGTGTACAAATTCCTTCCTTATTCATAGTGCTCTGGAGCAGATTGTTTTTATCTACCGCAACGCGTTTTTCGGGGGGTATTAAAATGGACTCCGTCCGTGTGTGCGTGCGTCCGTGCGTCCGTCCGTGCACATTTGTCTTTTCCGGAGCAGAACTCTAAAACCGTTCAATATTTCTTCACCAAACTTGGCACATACATGGATCTGGTGGTGTACTGGTGCCTTTTGGTAGTTTTGGAATTCTGAATTAAATATTTTTGGCGTTTCCATGGCAACAAGTTCGACTTTGACTGAAATTAGTGGTAGTGCTCTTTTCCTGAGCAGACTCTAAAACCGTTCACTATTTCTTCACCAAACTTGGCACATAGATAGATCTGGTGGTGAATTGGTGCTTTTGGTAGTTTTTGTTTTCTGAATAAAATATTTTTGGCGTTTCCATGGCAAGAAGTTTCACTTAGCCTGAAATTGGTGGTAGTGCTCTTTTCTGGAGCAGAACTCTAAAACCATTCACTATTTCTTCACCAAACTTGGCACATAGATAGATCTGGTGTTGTACTGGTGCCTTTTGGTAGTTTTGGAATTCTGAATAAAATATTTTTGGCGTTTCCATGGCAACAAGTTTGACTTAGCCTGAAATTGTGGTAGTGCTCTTTTCCGGAGCTGAACTCTAAAACCGTTCACTATTTCTTCACCAAACTTGGCACATAGATAGATCTGGTGTTGTACTGGTGCCTTTTGGTAGTTTTGGAATTCTGAATAAAATATTTTTGGCGTTTCCATGGCAACAAGTTTGACTTAGCCTGAAATTGTGGTAGTGCTCTTTTCCGGAGCTGAACTCTAAAACCGTTCACTATTTCTTCACCAAACTTGGCACATAGATAGATCTGGTGTTGTACTGGTGCATTTTGGTAGTTTTGGAATTCTGAGTAAAATATTTTTGGCGTTTCCATGGCAACAAGTTTGACTTAGCCTGAAATTGGTGATAGTGCTGCTTTCTGGAGCAGAACTTTAAAAACCTTTCAATACTCTCCTTCCACTTTTCTATATACACACCTAAATATTTGACATAATCATAACTCGTAGACATAATCATGAAGAGTATTTTGCCATTGCGGGGGATATTGATGACTTTGTCTTCTTGTTATCTTAATGATACTGAAAGGGAACAATCTTGTGGTGATGTAAAACATGGTTTATTTAAGGCTTTTGGTGTGTCCATTGGGGAGTTAAAATTATTGAAGTATGTATGTAAATATGTATGTAAGTATGTAAGTAAGTATTTTAAGTGGTCCAGAATAATATGGAAAGTACAGAAATCCTGACTGTGTTGGGTATAATGTTGCAGGTTGGCTACTTTGGACCTCTGTTTGATGGTGCAATAGTGGACCACTTGGTCCTCCCAGGTCTAGTCCGAGCCACAGCAATCAACGCCAGTCGGGTCAAACGCTCACAACTGCCTTTCTTTCACTCATTGTATCCTTTCCTAGACCTTGTACATCATCTAATAATGATGCTTTTATTGTTGTTCATCTTATAGAAATGTGTGTCACACAGGAATTGCTACTAATTGCTCAGATGTACCAGAGTTGAGTCTGAAGCAAACCAGTCCTATAAGTAATGTAATCAGATAATGGGAGGATGGGTTTGTTTCTTTGAAATGAGTGACTGAGTTTGGTTTTACCACGCTTTTAGTAATATTCCAGCAATATCACATCTGGGAATTCCGTCAAATGAAGGGAAATGGAAAGCTAACAATCTCAGTTAAAACATGGCTTCTCAATGTTATCAGTCTTACTTTGCTCAGGTCTGAAAATAGTACAGTGGAAATTCAGATTCGTGAAAGGTAAAACTGTTCTATCAAAGTCTCACCATAATGTTTATCTCTCTATATACAAAATGAAACAAAACTTGCTTTTGTAAGTTTAGTATAGATTTTCCTAAGGAAAGCAAGCTGTAACAATAGTAGGGATTCAGGGTCCCCCAGTACCCCCAGCTGTATGTGAGAACCATCTAGAATGGAAGTCAGGCACCATGACCTAGCTTGTGCTGGGAGTGTTGCTCATGCCTTCAGGTACTGGTTTGAATGGGAAGATCTCTGACTTAGTGTTTAACAGCATACACTGACTCATGCATAAGTGGAGGGTGAGCTACAGTACCAGGTGTAGACTGGAATACATGCTTCCTTGACAGACGTAAGTTATGAGGAACGTGCCAAGTGCCTTGAGACAATCATACAACAACACACAGAACACAGCACATTCGAGGACTTCGCTGCCCATGTCTTTGCTCCTGTGTTGCCAAATAACGGAACAAGTAAGTTTCCTGTCGCTCTGGATTGTAGCCGTTTGGGGATTATACTTTTTCAAAGTTTATGAATGCCTTTCTTTAAGAATACAAAGATTTCACATCTATATGAATTTTCCTGTATTTATTTAGAACCCAAGTCATTATTGTGTTTATTGGAATAGAAAGGACCAATCCTTCAGGCTTGAGCTATCATGTGATACCATTTACAGATACAAAATATGAAAGCATATTTTTTTCAATTCTCTCTTCTAATTTTCTCTTCTTGGAGGTCACACCATCATTCTTTGTTGGAGTGAATACCATCTTGTTCATCACGGTAATTTGTTATGATAGTACTACCACTAGGTGAAGATGTCATGGGGTGTAGATGTCATGTGAGAGGCAGTCCACTTCCTGTTAGAGGGATGATGTCCCATGTCTGCAGGTGGAGTCTTTGTGTAATAAATTCCATGTTGCCTGGTTTCAGTTTTGGACAACCAAATTCCTTCTGAGACCAGCAACACAAGCCTGACTGAACTGACAAGTCCCGAGCCATCAGTACCGGTGGGCCAGGTGTCTCCTACAGGGATGAAACACAGCCGAGGTAGGAAGGCACAGTCTGCCCTCTGGCAGAAGGGAATAGATAACCTCATATTCTTATAGCTACTTAGTTTACAGCAACACTTGCCATCCAGTTCTCCAAGCTGTACCCAGGCGTGTAGCAGCTTCACAGATCGTGGGAACATCATGCAGCTAGCAGGCAGATACAGCAACATCGTGGAGGAGCTCGGGCATCCTCTGTATAATACTGAAAGGGTAGTGGGCATTGCCCTGTATGGGTCAGTCTATTTTGCCATCTAAACCACAGGTGACAACTTGTCCACCTACATGGAAATGTCTTGTCCAGCCATATGGATGACATGTTCCATACACATTGGTTCACTATGCAGACATGGAAACATGTTTCAGAAGACAATCCTCTTGATACCTCGTGGAATGAACTGGCCTGATGTACTGATGCAAGTGTTCTGTTTGCCTCAAGACTCAGAAGCAGAACAGCTCAAAGAGGAATGGCTTCAAGGAAAATGGCTTCAACTGAATATCTTCAAGGAAAATGGCATCAAGGGCAGTAGCTTGAAGCGAAGCTGCGTGCAGGGAAGTGGCTTCAAGGGGAGGCAGCTATCTTGACAGTCTAGGTTTTCTACTTGCAAGAATTATGTGAATATTTGCCCTGTGTACACTGTAGACAAATAAGACATCATCAGAGGGACCTTACTTTGTTTCTACCAGAAACTCAGCTTCCTCAACTCAATGTTGAAGGTGTTTGAACATTTCTATTTCTGCTTGGGCTAAAGTTGTAATAATTCACCATTGTGATTCCATGCTAACTGCCACGGCATCTTTGAGTACTTTGAGAATTACTTACCAATAATTGTCAGGGGTTTATGAATCTGCATGACATGTATAATTGTCTCTTTTGGGGGAAAAATAGCATTAATTTCCTGACTTGTGTAGTTATTTTTTAATGTTGGAAGAGACAACCAAGTAATCGAATCCTCCAGTGCTAATCAACCAGGCTAAGATAACATTAAATAAAGTAAGCATTAGTGAGGTCTGGAGTGAGTTTGACACAGTCGGTGAATCCACACATTTGAGTTCTAGAATTTAGCTGTATCCTGAAAGTAAAAGCAATACATTTTCTTACAGAACACCCACAGAAGCTACAGCAATCAGGATGAAATAGGTGAATTATTACAGTGTTGACATTAACCCAGTTGAACACCAAAGAAACTGGGAAAACACATTGAAATGGACAGTGAATGGAATTGGATATAATTCATTTTCCTCTAATATAATTTGTCCCCTCTTTGTTCACTGATCTTGTGATATGTTTAATGGTGACGATGGACATTATAATGATTAAAATAAGGATATAATAGTTAGATGAATGATGTATGTTTTTCAATGAAAATCATCAAGTGATAGAAGGTAGCTCTCCAAATGATTGAAAAGTTGCTGATTCAGCATTATGTGCAATATTCATTTCTTCATCCATCCATCCTCACAGGCATTACATTGTCAATATATTTACAGGTGCAAAGTAACATAAGAGATGTTTGAAACCTCTGGTCTGAATTATGTCTGGGGTGAACGTTGTCGGGGAACATGGATTATTCTGGTATCAATTTCTGTTTCACCCAGCTTCAATCACATTGGCCATCATGAACAGTAAAGTATCTTGTTTCGGTTGTGTCACATATCAAGACACTATTTTGTCACAGCTACATGTTACATGTCTTGTTTGAGTTTTGTGAGACCATCAGCTTTAATCTTGTTAACATCTTAAAATTTCTTAATATTTTGGGAAAATATTTGTTTTTCTTTTCCTCAGATTAAAACACTACTGTTCAAACAAAATCACATGTATCTCATCTGTTGGTGATCAGTATTCAGAATAGAAGATAAAATGTAGTGTTACAAGACAGCATTCTTATCCATTCTCTGAGTTCAGTCATCCTTGCATGTGGGAGTATATCATGTTGATCACAGATATTTGTCAGGCTTTGTCAAATTTATAGAAGTGACACTCCAGTCTCTGGATATATCTGTTAAGATAAACAGAAGGGTTAGGTGTATCTTTGATCATTTCTGATTAGGACAAGATGTGAAAAAAGCAACAACAAATTCTCATTCTGGGTTTTGTATATACCACCAGAGGATGCCTAGTTCAGGCTGTTCTATTCAGTGTGTAGAATTGTGTCCTGTTTGCGATCATGGGATTGATTCCTATAGTCGCCCTGATTATGATGATAGGTTTGTCTGTACCCTATCTGCCTGTTTGTTTAACCAGAGTGGTGATTATGTAAGACCTAAATGTCACTTTGGGCTTTCCTCAGACATTACTTGACATGCTGTGATACAACTGAAATACTGGTCAATGTGGCATTTCTTCGTCACATTAACTTACAATTACAGGTCCTTTGTTTGTGTTTCTTACAGAACTCTTAGTTCAATGTGTTATGTATTTTCTGAAGAGTCAACCCCTGTTTAAAAAAACAGTAGATGTAAGCAGCTTGTTTTGGTTAGGACCATACTGATTTTATTCCTTGTTTAAAACAGTTTCTATAACAACCTCACAAGTTACAACTGTGTCATTTTGAAAGAAAGAGTTATAAGACAAGAAAAGATTTAAGGGTGGTGAAACCTACTCTATACTTAGTGAACTTAGCATACCAACTGAGCATATGTTTGACAGAGTGTTGTAGACAGGTTTTCTGTGGCTACTAAGAGTAGCCTGACCTGCACAACATAGGGTAGAGTGGTACCTGGGTTCTGCAGAGATACATAGCTTCCTGAACACTGTATTTGCTGACCTTGACAAGGAGCAGCCAAATTTGTTTGGTTTGGGGCCAAGAACCAATGATAGCTTTGTTTAGGAATACACTATGTTATGGTGGTTTTTCTATAGTTGTGGATATTTAGACTGTTGTCATGAAAGTATCATGTCAGACATTTACTGTTTTGTTACCAGGCACTATTGATATATATGCACCATATAGTAATGATTATTTATCAATACACCTGCAAAACATGTTACGGAAACCTATGTTTTGTCAGTATGTTTGCATACATTTTCCAGAGTACTAAGTTCCCATACTTGAACCACTATATATACAGCACTATGCCAAAGTGTTGCAAGAAAAATGGCTGCCGCTCTACATAGAGGTTCTCATCTGAAATTTTCAAGCAATGAATACAACTTTAACAACTGTTTTTCTTACCTTGTTTTGACTAATATTTGGTGATATAACCTCTCTGAATCCCTACACTCCTCAATCTCCATGGAAATGACTTGTATAAACTAGATATATACACTGGAGTCCGGCTTTGCCAGATCCTAGTTACACAGTCTATGAGGTCTTGGTGTGTTTAGAGGACGGCGGTTTCTTGTCACATTTCCACACGTTCTATTATGTTGAGGTGGGTACAATGTCTGAAGCCCATTTCTGGTATCCCCCGCCGTAATATTGCTAAAAGCGGCGTAAAACCATACTCACTCACTATTATGTTGAGGTCTAGAGATTGTGCAGGCCAATCAAAAGTAGGTGGCTGTTAGCTGTTTTCCAATCAGCAGTCAGTCTTGACCTATGGGGTGTAGCATTGTCATCTTGGAAAATAAATTCATTATTTCCAAACACTTTGGTCACAACAGGCCATAAATGTTCATCAATGAGTTCAGTATACTTCTGTGAGTTCAGGGAACCCTCAACTGGCACAAGTGTTCCAACACCATCCTTCGTAATGCCCCCAGCAAAACATACAGCTAATCCAAGCTGGTACCTTCAGTGCGTTCTGACACTTGGGTCTCCACTTCTCATCAAATTTTTCCAAACATATACAGACTTGTTCTTTCCAATCACCACCTGAGTTTCATCAGAGAAAAAATGTTTCTTATTCTTACACCAAGCAATCCTCTTTCTTCTGTTCACCTTAGAAATTGTGATAGTTTTCTGAATGGCACATTTTCGAAAACCATAGAAATGAAGTCTTGTTTGAACAGTTTTTTTAGATAATACCTGTTTGTATACATTATTTTATTCATGAGTCAAATCTGTCAAAGACCGCCTACGATTACCTTGCACTATACGATTAAGTCGGTGATCACTTCCCTGTCAGACACTTAGGCCTCCCACTTCTGGCCTTGTTCTCTACTGAACCGCAGGCAGAAAACTTCTTTGAAACTCTTGAGACAGAAGATTCGTGTATCCCCAAAATCTTAGCAATGTTGCAATTTTTTTCTCCACTCTGTTTCAAAAATATAAACCTTTCATTCAACCTGAAGGTCAATTCTCTTCTGACAGCAGCCATGATTTCATCTCCAATGTATACAAGATGTCGTCTGCTCCACCTATTTCCTGTAGGTGCCAGGTGAAAAAGTAACCCCTAAAATATGATCCTATACCAAAATTTATTTTTGAATGTAAACAGTGTTAAAGATTTTATCCAAATACATAACGGCCATCTCGGCTCAAATACAGCATCAGTCATGTTTCTTGCAACACTTTTAGCATGGTGCTATATATATTTGTGTATATCTTAGCAAAGATATTTTACTAGACGTTAAGTGCAGTGGTAGTGGCCTTTATTTGACACATTGAAGCCTTGAAAGATGGGAAGTTATTCTGTAATTTTGTTCTCTTAAAAATACAGAAGATTTTGTCCAGAAAGATCTCAAGAATATGTTACTTTCAAGATCATGTTAGATTTAGTTATCAGGATAGTCAACACCTTGTTACCCCGTGTTATACTAATTTCTCAGCTTGTTGCTTGATGTAAGAGGCAGCTAAATTGGTTCTGATGGTGAGATGACTTGGTGGTTGTGTGTGATTTTCCTTAAACAATCTGATACAGTGTTCATATCAACCAGCAGTTGGCGTGGTCCAGATTCAGTTGTTGAAAGCCATGATGGCTTGGTGTGAATATTGGTGAGTGCAGCGTTCAGCAACAAACAGTTTAGACAAGCTAGAGATGGTTGAGGGTAATGCCAGCCCAGGGCCCCGTTCCTCAAAGCGATCGTAGCACTACGACAGTCGTAACTCCCATACTTTAACATAGACTTACGACTGTCGTAGCGCTACGATCTCTTTGAGGAACGGGGCCCAGGGCCTTGGCTCAGTAGATATATCATAACCTACTGTTGCTATTACACATGTCATGTACAGACATGGCAAGAATGGTGAACACACAGACAGAGCTGTTCCATACACTGCGTGCACAGTGTAATTTGAGGTGATATGTTAGCGATCATGAACTATCTTCAACACCGTCTATGCACAGTTATCCTTGTTATATTTGTTGTATTTTTTGTTAATGGTTCTTTCATGAAATTAATAATTCAGTATGAAAATCATTCACGTGTAGCTATAACACAGCAAATGAATAAGAAGACAAGTACGTCTCGGCTGATGTTCATGTGAGTAATTATCAGGAGGGGTAACTTCAGACTTGTAATAATAATAACGTCAGTGTCACTGTACATTTCAAGGATGAATGTTAGGAGGGAACATTAATCTTGTAAACATTACTCTGATATCAGATGACCCTTCATCCTGGTCCGATGTTTCTCTGAGGACATCAACTAGTGAGTGTATGTGTCAGTATGAATGTTTCACAGCCATATTGTAGGCATATATCCTGAGTTACATATCTTTACATTTTGTAACAGGTTGTAATTAACTCAATTCAGAATAATCCTTGCCTGGATGAGTCTGAGATCCCTGGTCCATTTGAATGTATTTTAAGATTGTATGACTGTTAAAATACCAAACCTTATCTGTGATTTTGATTGTGAGATTTTATATAAATCATGTATGATAACATTAACCTTTGCACAGTGCTTGTGTGGCTTTGTATCAATAATGGTTATTACTGGGATTTTTGTAAGAAAACAGTGAGATAAAATAAAATATTTCATATGCAACATGTCTTGTTTTTTCACCACATGAGAACTAAGTTGGGTTTTTTCCTAACTTAAATATTACTTTCCTGTCACTGTTTCTGTTTAAGTAATAATCAGTTTTTTAATTGAAACTAGAAACAGTTATGAGCTATTAACCATTAGTCAGTTTTTCATGCAGTTTTTTTTTTACGAAAATGTTTATTGAAGACTTGAAAATTTACTCTTGATTTTATTAACTTTAGGTTTTTATGTTAATGTCATTGTTGAAAATACTATCCTTGTCAAAGATTTATGCAAGCATGGAATGAAGATACAGTTTTGTACAGGGGTAGTTTTGGCTCAAGTAGAACTGGTCACATCCGACAAAGTTTTTATTGAATTACAGGATGAACCATAGTAACGATTAGATGCTACGAGGAGAGTTGCTGAAACCAACTATTGCCCTGCTATGTTATAACTGCTGTATACCATTGATGCTGACTAGCGTTTATTGATTTGTAGCTCACCATCACCACACGGCACCAGGTGCCATATTCTGGCCATCTGGTTTCCGACGGCAACGCTCCAACAGCAATGACTTTGATACATTGTAGTGAGGAGGTAGTTTGTCCTAATTGAGCAAGTGTGGATGACGGGATGCTATTTACCGGCCTGTCCCTAGCTAGACTTTGGTTGTCACTGTTTGATCAGTTGTTGTCAGTCTTGCGTCAAGTGCCAGAGTGGAGCTTTGTTTTGTTTCACAGCCATTTTGATTTGTTGATTATTGTTTTTCTTCCTTTTTGTAGTTGCTGCATCAAAGTGATGGTGGTTTAGATTGGGTTCTTGTGACTGTATGCCACTTCTCCTTCAGAAAGAATTCAGATAGAAACATGACTGGAAGGTATAACAAGTAACCACACCTGTTTTCGGTCATCTGTTCAGTGATGAACAGCAGAAAATATTACAAGATACCAAGTATTAGGTTTAGTTTGCTCAATCTTTGAACTGTAAATTACACAATTTCGGTTTTTCATTCCATCATTGTAGTTATTTCTGAGGAGAAGTGTGTTGACAGTTTCATGTTGCACCGTTCAGGTTATCAGGCTTACTACTGTTTAACAACTGCTTATTAATATCATAACATGGAATTTTTACATTATTTTGGAGACTTTCATTACATTACATAACTTTCTTGAGCATACATTCTATACACGTAATGGGATGTCTCTGCCAGGTTCTTCTTGTACTTTTACATGCCACATGATCACTGAAGTTAAATGTCAGGAAACAAAACATTTCAATGCTATTTTTGTAATCCATTGAAACAGAAAGTGTTGGCATTCGATCTCCTGAATCAGTCCCCAAGACACCACTAAAACCCCTGTTGCATGGTGTAGTTAGCTGTCATCCTCAGTTGTGTTGATTTGTTTTATATTATGTTTGACACAGGGCTAGGTGCTCCCTCCTCTACATTACCGCGCGCTTCTTTATATAGTTCATGGATTCGACTTATTCCTCGGGTTGGGGATTTGTTCACATAGTGAGTCCTGGACAATTTCAAACTGTTTGATTCATTACTTAAGTCCTGCGACCTGTTTGAGTTCTTTCTACACTCGTCACAGTCCATGAGCTGTTTGCTGAAATGAATGAATCCATCAAAGGCCATGAGCTGCTTGTTGAAATGAATGATCCTTGATCAGTGATTCCACTCTGCATCTGGGTGTATGACTGGACAGTGCTGTGCCAGGCCATGTTAACCCAAAGCACACAGAATGACAATGTGTTATGTCACTTATTCTTGCCCAGCTAACACCATTTGCAGTTTCATTGTGTTTTGACGTCTATCGGGGAGTATGCTTTGTAGAATATTAATCACTTTTGTTCTCAGACACATCACATATGCAATTTGAAGGAAAAACGTGAAGCTGTAGAAAATGACAGATGCAGAATCTCTTCCATTTTGTGGAGAATTATTCCTTATTATATAGAATTATTGCTTAAAATTCAGATTGTTCTCTTGAAATTTATTTAAATTGTATCTCCAAGGTATGAATTGTCAATTATTTCAAAGTGTTATCTGCGTGTCTTGTGCAGTTGACATAAGGGGAAGTAAGTCAGTATTGACAAATGCTTGGTTTCTGGAGGTGGATCGCATCTGAGGCGTTGTCCTGAATATTCAGTGTGTCATATCTCCATGCAGCAGGAATACTTGTACTCACCACCATTGCTTCGTTTCAGTCATTTCCACCTATAGTACTGACAAATTAGCACATGATATTTATATGAAACACTTTATTAACATGGGTCTAACATACTACCACTATCACAAATCACGGCCAAGCTGGGCTAAGCAAGCTGATATGTAACAGGTTTAAGTAAAACATTCTGAGCCTAACACATCAAAATTTATACAAAAGTGAAATCTTTTGTTGTAGATGTTCCATAATGTTTTAGATGTATATCCTCCAAAATTGATGTCGTTAGAACAGATTTTATCACTGTGACTAGGGGGTAATATAAATAACGGTCTGTGACTTTTGAAAATTGACAAACATGAGGGCTGATCATGTACATGAGGGCTACTTGTTTCAGAATAATGTGTACAGTGTGACTGGACTTTGTCAGTTTGAAAACACTGTTAAATTAGCAAATGGGTAATGTATCAGAGGAGAACTGAGACATAATACCCTGGACACTGGATAATTAATTATTGTTGACAAATGGGAGGTTTCTGCATGCCACCTATGGGGTTGTTTATCAGTATTGAGAGACAGGTTTCTGCAAGTGGTGTTGGTTGAGCAAAAGTCTACTTTTTCCCCTGAATCATGCTTTCACTTTGGGATGGCAATGGTAAGTCATAATTACCTTGAATTTTCAACGGAGTTTGCTATATTTTCAGTTTCTCTGCATTAGTTTATCATTTGACTCTTGTTCTCAGTTGAAGTTGCACATCTTTGAGAATGTAACAGTCACATGCATGTATATGTGTTACGTTTAGTTGTATTTCTTAATTACTGCATATTTTAGTTGTAGCTGGGGATGTTTCTGTGTATTTGTGATGTGACTTGTTCTCCAGTCAGGTACAAGTCACTCTACATGGTAGGACCAAAACAGTAACAATAAATCAGGGACACTTTGCAGGCTCAGTTTTTGGCATGCAGCATTTGACTAGTTTCAACTTAAGTTTAGTTTGATTTTGTTTGACAGCATGTTTTACTCACATCTGATTGCTACTGAAGCATGCTTGTTATGGTATCCTTAAACTTTGTTCATTGAATTTATTCCACAAAAATGTGAATTATTAAATGATAAAACATCATCTGTTTATTGTTACAATTCTAAATTGTTTGAAGAGAAATCTGTTCTTAAGTCAGTCATTTGTAAATTGGGTTACGAAGCTAATATTCATATTGATAATTCATAAAAGAACTGCATTTGACTGATGTGGATCAAAATTGTCTTTGTTGAAAGTGTAGTTTAACCATTGTATCGGTTTGCAGTGTAGTATAACCGTTATTGCTGATTGCAGGAAGCGAGTCTGGAACTGACATGGATGAGACTGACTCCAAGATGGTGCGGTCTCCTCGACGATGGTCCATGAGGAATAGGAAGTCTTCAGCCCCGAAATCCAGCACCCCAAACCCCACCATCTTCACCCCTCCAGGAAGCCCCAAGTCAAAGAATAAGAAGTGACCTCTTATACTTTCTGACCCGTGTGATCAACGTGTTGGAAGTGGATCATAATGTTCCTTCTGGGGCATCTGTGCGAGGACTTGTCATTATTTATTTCTAACCATATATACTCTTCCTAATAGTTGTGTTCAAGAAGCTCACTGCTTGGTTGTAAACTGTTGTCCTATTTAAGAACATTTGACTGTATCATGTTTGTCTACCCAAAATGACCTCTAAGAGACATTTTACCGGGAAAAACATGAATTATAAAACTAGACACAGTCAACTTGAGATATGTTACAGTAAAGAGAATAATGAGCCAGTTCTTACCCTTGAGCAATAAATGTTTGTTGTTGAGTAACAACTGAAAGTCCCAGTTATTGAAGTCTGGAGTTTTAGAGTAGCCTTGTTTCCCAGTTAGCAGAGATGCCAACTTCTACGATTTTATTGTAGTCGTTACGAATTTTAGCCTCAAACTATGCCTTTACGATTACGCTAGAAATTCTTCGAAATTTGAAGAAAATTCATTAAAACTGGATGTATAGACATGAACATATTTTTGTCAATTAAATACATTTTCACAAAAAAAGAGACGGCAAGAAGAAATGTAATACTGATTATTTGGAAATCTGCTGTTGGAGGCATGTGAAATTTATTCTTGATTAGTGTCAGATCTTTCTCAGAATCCATCATGATTTTAAGTATTTAGTTGACTACTAATTTTTTGGTCAAACTACTAATGTTGATCCTTGAAACTACTATTTGCAACACTTTGGGGTTGGCATCTCTGCAGTTAGTATCGGTTTTCTCAGGTGTTGTACATTGTGTAGCTAGAGCAATATTTATTTTGTTTTGCATATCGCCTAAAACTACTGCATATACCCCACAGTAGTAACCACAAATAAAACACATTTATTCATATCATCATATATTACTCCAAGATTATGACAGATGTGTATTGTCAAAGTGATTTAAGTCATCGGTTACTTCCATCAGCTGGTCATGAAAATATGTGTTAATAGTGTTACCTTGTCCTGTTGGTTGAAGACATTCAGTATATGTCAGTAAACTACCTATTAAAGCATACCTACAATACATTGTTACACTGCATCGGTACTTCTACGTTAAATACATTTGATCTGTTGAAGATATGGCATTAAAATCTTTTGGATTGATTAGGAATAATGGTGAATTATTTTTTTAGTGAACTTGGTAATATATATGAACGTGTGCTTTGGAACATCATATGTGTTTGTTATAGTTAGTTAAGCTGTTTAACTGTGACAAATAGTCACATTTCATTAATATGACTATCAGTTGTTTTTTGTGCCAAATCAAATAGTGTCATTCTATTTTTCGTATTGTTTTCTTTCAAATTTGTCAATCCTTGTTTTGCTTGGTCACATTGTCTACTTGCCATTGATGACAGATAAGTCCATGCCATGTAGTACTAGATGAAATAATGTTTTAATCATAAGATTTATATTTTCATATATTAGAATATTTAATGTTTTCAATTATTACTTCCATATCAATTTTCTATTATTATTTCATTAGGATTAGTCAAATTAAACAGAGCTACGTCCTATATTTTTGAGGGTATTGTTCAGACAGAAAGTGCAGAGATATCAGATGATCCAGGAAGGGTACAACAAAGTGTGCTCTGTGAATGAAGCACTACTAATACTTTCCATGCACCTGAACTAGTGTGTCATCAATCCTGATATTCATATATATGTAGTCTTAACAAAGTCACTATTTGACAAACATTGGATGTAAGTAGCATATTGTATTAGAATGTTTTGGGTGTATTGGTGGCCCGTTGTTCAAATCCCAGATTCAGCCTGTGATGAAACTTGGTATGTCAGCGTTGTTTATATTCTTTTGGACTCACTTAGTAGATTTAGAATTCATGATTGACTGACACAGCAACATCAAACCAGGGAAGAGTCAAGTCCAGCCTTGGATGTCATGGCAGTAATGAAGATGCTTTAACCTACTTATGTTGCAACTTATTTTCTCATGAGATGAAGTGCTAGTCCGAAGATAATTTATATACCATCATATCTTACATATGTGCAATTATGCTTTGAGAATATATATTGAAGACAAGTCAGTATGGAATATGGTTCACATCTGCAAAGGTATAAAAGTGTCGTGATGTTAGGTGTTGAAGCTGATATTTTCATACTTTTTAATCAATCTATGCAAATTGTAATTGTGTTGTTGCTATGTATTTCCTCAGCATTCTTGTATATACACGTCAAAAGACATCTATGTTATGTAGTGTTAGACTGGAGCTTTAATATATCTATCATAATTTTTATTAAGGATTCCTAATTCTTCAAAATGACGTTTCAGTTTACATGCTTCTAGTAGAAAGATGAACGTACATACGCATTAAATGGTACAAATATAGACATACCATAATTGAATCTGTTTGCATGTATCTTGCTAATGTATCTGCTTGATTATATTTATTTTACCAACTGATATAGGTGTCCTATGCATCATGATACGAGGTGTTTTGTACATCTTATTGCATGATGTCAGCCATAACCATGTATGTGTTATATTCTACAGTATTACGACAGAGATTTTTACCAAAAATTACATACGGAGGATCCTTAAGACATGTTAGGTGGTACAGGTGGAAGGTGCAATGTTTCCCTCAGGTCCTACTCAGTAGCTGAATTGTTGCATGTATTGTAGAGACAATGACAAATCTGACTTGGCCAAGCTTATTGTTCTTGGCTCAAAATCATTATCGCTTTTTGGTTAGGTAGTATTTTGAGGTGTTTAACTAAGAACACTTGACTGACAGGCGGGGATCTTGATGTATGATGATGATGATGATGCAGAGCAGTGTAAGATCGTGATGCATATGGTTTCTTGTTTTACCAAATCTCTTGGTAATTTGTTGTGAGGCTAAGTAGAAATATTTAGCTGTAGATTTCCACAAATAGCTCTTGCAATGTGACAAATCAAAATACATATCCATATAAATTTTTCTCTGTATGTTTTCACTTTTGAACAATTTGAGCATGGTCATCTTGAAGACAAAAACGTATAAACAAGAGAAGGATGAAAATAAAGATCTATTCATTGTATCCCTTAACACTGCTCCTCCTCAATACACAGGTGGAGAGTTCTTCATGACAAGTGACATTGTATACATAGTTCTATTATGAAGTGAAGCCCATTTCTGGTGTCCCCGGCCGTGATGTTGCTGGAATATTGCTAAAAGCGGCGAAACCAAAACTCAGTCAGTCAGTCATTCTATTATGAAGTGTACTGTAGTACTAAACAGAAATGATTCTTCTTGTTTCTTGTAATCGCAGAAGAAATTGGTTTGTATATGTTTTATCTCGGTTTTTGAATCGTTTATGTGAGACCCTTGTCAGTTGAGTGTTCAGATAGTGAGAGACCTTTTGGCAATAGAACATAGGCTTGCTTTTGATACAACATGCAGTAGATAACACGTCTATTTAACGCATGAAGTCGTTTGTTATGACATATTTCTTAATACAAGCTGTCAGAATAGGACATATGAACTATATACAATTTGATATTTATATATTTGGCTGTAGCTGATTTGTTGACCCATGTAAAACCATTCTCAGTGACTTGTTGTTAGTTCAGTATAATGACCTACAAAGGTAGGTGTAGTATTTTGTTATTGAAGCTGAGGGAAACTTCTTTGTGCTGATGAAGAAACTGCCTCCTGCAGGGTGCCCAGTATTTGACACAACAGCCACTTTTTTCAATCTTTACATCAGCATTATGACAAACTGATCGTTGACAGGCCTGTTGTTGCCATCTGTAGTCTTCAGTACAAAACACTAGTTTTCTTATTAGTATTTGTGAACTGTTATAAGTAATGTGTTGGAAATCTGATTGGTGGTGTTGATACAGCGAGGGGAGATTCTCTATGGAACAGCTGATGTATGTATGTGTGTGTGTGTGTGTGTGTCTTCCAGCAGTGTTCAGATTGTATACAGCCCTTGACATTGACTCCAAGCATATGTACATTGATCAGATCAAAACACACACAAGGTGCTATGTATGTGTACCGTCTATGTTGTGCAAACATATTGTTTATTTGAATGCCAAATATGACATGAAAATAGCACATCTGTACCTTTATAAATCAAAAGATGGAGGTCTGTTTGAGTTACACAACTTTATTCTCTCTTTTTTGTAAATAGATTTTAAGGCGAGATTAAAAGGGTTTGGTTTTTTCATAAAAGTAATCGGGGAGTTCACATCTTTTATAGTGAATATGCAGCTGCAGGAAATACTGCTATCATGAGTACCCTGTTTCTATTCATATAGATTTCAGGTCCAACATTAGGTAACAGTTTTACAACAGATAATAAAGCAGCTTGTTTTGCGCAAGATAAATTGTTGTTGAATATTTTTAAATTTCAACATTAAGGCTTTTTATCACATATGGTATCGTAATAGGATAGGTTGGTATACTTCTGAAAGGATTTGTCATCTGTTTCTGGTGTTTTATGTTACTGCTTGTGTTAATGTTTATGTTTTGGGGGCAATTCAACTCATTTGCCTCTAGAATGCAATCTGCCCACTACACAACTGTATTGTGGGCACATTACACGAAAACATACCACAGCACACAGTAGCACAAGGACTCTGTACACAGCTGCATGTTCTTGCTTCTGTTATAACGGTTTGGTTTTATGTTTCTCCTAGTGAACGGTGATCATTTGCATTATGTAATTCCCCATCACCTTACTGTGACATTGTATCATAACCCTTTGTTATTTATTCAATCAAGATTCTGCAGTGAAATATATTGGATGTACTGCAACTATTCATGTATGTTCAAGCTCACTTATTGCTCAGATTATTATGAGTGTAACTGTTCACAGGGATGACTGAATGTTGGTAACGTACTTTGTGTAGCCCTTGCATCTGTGTAGGGGAATCACAATGTTTGCAACACATGTGTTTGAATTCTCTAATTTGTTGGTGTTAACAGTACAAAAACTAGTTTTACATTTATCAAAAGTATTTTATTATTGACAGTTCTTTACAAGTTAGTCTGTAGAAGCAGAATGTCCATTTAGAAAAGACTCCCATATAGAGGTACTTTACATGCCACACATTGTGGATACCTTTAGGTTTCTGTTGCCTTTGTGTATAGAAGCCACACATTCAGTGCCGGCATTCACCAAAGCCATGTATTCAACACCTACATACACAGAAACATGCATTCAACACCTACATACACAGAAGCCATGTATTCAACACCTACATACACAGAAGCCATGCATTCAATTACACCTACATACACAGAAGCCATGTATTCAACACCTACATACACAGAAGCCATGTATTCAACACCTACATACACAGAAACATGCACTCAACACCTACATATACAGAAGCCATGTATTCAACACCTACATACACAGAAGCCATGTATTCAACACCTACATACACAGAAGCCATGTATTCAACATCTACATACACAGAAGCCATGTATTCAACACCTACATATACAGAAGCCATGCATTCAATACCTACATACACAGAAGCCATGTATTCTAAACACCTACATACACAGAAGCCATGTTTCAACACCTACATACCTACATACACAGAAGCCGTGCATTCAACACCTACATATACAGAAGCCATGCATTCAATACCTACATACGCAGAAGCCGTGCATTCAACACCTACATACACAGAAGCCATGCATTCAACACCTACATACACAGAAGCCATGTATTCAACACCTACATACACAGAAGCCATGTATTCAAAACCTACATACACAGAAGCCATGTATTCAAAACCTACATACACAGAAGCCATGTATTCAACACCTACATACACAGAAGCCATGCATTCAAAACCTACATACACAGAAGCCATGCATTCAACACCTACATACACAGAAGCTGTGCTAAACCTACTCAATATTCACCTACATACACAGAAGCCATGCATTCAACACCTACATACACAGAAGCCACACACACCGTGCATTCAACACCTACATACACAGAAGCCACACACTCATTACCTACATACACAGAAGTCACACACTCAACACCTACATACACAGAAGCCACACACTCAACACCTACATACACAGAAGCCACACACTCAACACCTACATACACAGAAGCCACACACTCAACACCTACATACACAGACACTCAACCACACAGAAGCTCAACACCTACATACACAGAAGCCACACACTCATTACCTACATACACAGAAGCCACACACTCAACACCTACATACACAGAAGCCTTACACCCATTACCTACATACACAGACGCCACACACTCAACACCTACATACATAGAAGCCACACACTCAACACATACATACACAAAAGCCACACACTCAACACATACATACATTTTTATGAGATGCACTTCCTAGTTTTTACAACAGGGAAGTGATATTGATGAAAGAAGCAGGAATTCTGCAGTTAACTGCTGTGTATGTTCTGTCCATGTTGATATACCTCCAGTCCGTGTCTGTGGTTCAGATCAAGTGCTGATATTATATGTGTTTTCTTTGTTTGTGTTGACCACATATCAATGTTTACTAGTGCAATATTCTCCCAGCAAAGAAGCAAACCAATGTCTTGTATGATCAATATAAATCACCTGCTCCTGTGTTATGTTGATAAGAGGTTTATTTATGTCAATACAATAATACTATTGTAGTTATGAGAAATGTGAACATTTAACCATGTCGGTTTCATATATAATCAAAAGGCACTAATTAATTATTTGAATAATCAAGGGAATTACATGATTGTGTATCTTTAACATCACACAATCGACAATGTTCAGTGTAAATTAACATAGGAACATACCACCTGGAGCATTTGGCCATTTTGACTTGTATTGTTCAAGAATAAATGTTTTGTTTTTTTACACAAATGCTTTTCCTGTTATTAATATTTGCACATTGAGGTGATCACAAAGTAGTTTGATGCAGATTGTTTATGTGGTGTGAGGAGACCAGAGTGGCCAAGTTGTTGGAGGTGGCACCATTCACATTGAAGAGTTGTCCTTGGTATGCCAGAACCCTTGGACCACAGGTTTGAATCCCGGATCTGTCCTGATTAAGATTCTTTGTTTGTCAGGCAAGTACCTACCGGATTTCACCATTGGTATATATCTTCAGGCGTTCTTATTACACCAAGCAGACACTTCATGTTATCACAGAGGCGTTATAACTCCTGTGATGAAAGGTTATGCCCTCCTCCTGTTAGTTGTCAGGGGCAGGTAGAACTGCACTATAGATTAGTTATGGGAACTTGGTGGCACAGTTGGACTAGACACTGCAGTTGATTGTTGCATTACTTGGCGATGCAAAGAATGGTTGACTGTTCTTTTAATATCTAGATATTCCGCTGTTATAATCCATGATCTTGGCTCTGTCATCACTGGGACAACGTTACAACTACTGCCCTGGAAGGTTAACATTGTTTAGGGGATATCAGAGAAAATGTTTTGGAGTTCTAAGCCAGGTCTGCCTGGTTCCTTAAAAGTCACAGTATGTTTTGGTCATATATTCATTGTGTACAAACAAACAAGCAAGCCATATGTTCACCACATGTTTAACATATTCTTGAATGATGCTTTGAGAAGTCAGCTAAAGGACCGCCAGAAATGTCCAAGGGCATAACAACACTGACAACATCGAAGACATCCATATTAAATCTCACAGGGTTGTAATTAATGGACATGGTGGATAACATGAAGAGCGAGTGCATAGCCGGGCGCGAGTCAACCAAGTCAGACACACAAACCACCCGATCCTTCGCCTGGACTACCATTAGGACTATTGCCAGGATCCCCATGAACAACTATTCACTGTTATGAGTTGGTTGTGCTTCTGTTGTATGTTGATCAGAGGTGTACACTTTCATTTCATTTACGTCATGAACTCTTCTTTTGGAACAGCAGAGAATCTGGGTGACTGATTCCCGATACGACCTGAACAGGCCGAAGAACAAAGGCAGTTTCAGGGCCATGTAGATGTAGTTGATGAACAAGGCGGTGAGGCTGATGACACTGTCAACATAGCTGGCCGCAGTGCGCGACTTGAGGACCATCTGGGTCACTACTACCGGGAGGAACGTTAGCATGTATATGATTCCGATAATGAGTATGCTCATGGCCTGGCGGATGTACCTGGTAGTACGGCAGTTGACGTTCTTCAAGTCGCCAAACGTGCGGGCGTATTGAAAAATTTTGACGAAGCTGAAAACGGCGACACCAAGAGGTATTGCCAGAAGTGTTGTTAAGTCTAAAGCTATAATCCACCAATCAGAAGCCTTTTGATCTGCTAAGAACATATGGGGTAGTGCTTTGGAGTCCTTAAATGTATCTGCTGTGACGTCTAACAAGGAAAGGGCAATGTTGAACGCCCATGTCAGGGAAATGAAAACACACACTCGTCTGATTGTAATATACATCGCGTAGTCATGTGCCCGGCAGATCGCAAAACAAAGGTTGCAGGCTATGGAAGCAAGCATTTGCATCGACTCGCTGTAAAAGATGAACGCGAACATCCTCATCCATCCCAGAGCAAGAAACATCTTGTACCCATGATACTTGGACGCATCAACGCAGCTGTATACCAAGAAGGTCGCACCGACACCAATATCAGCAAGTGCCTGGTTACATAGTAGCACACCCGCTATTTCTCGGATGCCTGTTATCTTGTAGGTGACCAATATGATGATGACGTTGTTGAGAATCGTAAGGATGTCAGCAAAGACACAGACGATAACGACAACGTAGGTGTTGATGCCGTGTAGTTCCGGGTCTGTGGCGTTACCTTCCATAGAGGATTCAGAGTCACTTTCCTAATTTCCTAGCTGTCGAAGGCAATGTCCGACGTCAAGCGATCCATCTGACCAGCATCCATAACCACAGTCGTCGAATCAGGTTTATGTCCTAACACCAACAATGTATCCCACAGCGCAAATGGCACGGGACTTCTGTAGCCATGTCACGCATTTACGAGTCCAACACTTTGACTCATAATGGGTGCCCGATGCCTGAAACTCATGTTGGGTTCTTCATTTATATGCTTCCTAATATGCCAACCGCTCAGCGCGGTAATCCCAGAGTGACTAATGAACAATAAAGCTTCATATGAATATTTCCTCCGTTATCTGTGTGAGCAGGTGCGTGTTCCCCATCAGTGTTCGTGTTTGTCATGTAGGACACCAGGATCTTAGAAGAACCACTTTCGTCAGCAAGTGTAATGTGCTTAAATCATTTCAGCCTTTCATGTCAAATTAGGCGCCTATCAACTCTGGATGTGGTTTCTGATAACGGTCTCAAACCAAGCACTTGTAAATAAACGATAAGCAATTTTGTCCTTGTAATCTCTCTCAACTGAATGTTTGTTTCTACCCGTAATGACCTGCCTGACCACATCGAATGTAATTAAGCAGATGGAGACATTTCCCACACTGCCTGTATAATGGTTGCCGGTAGATATCACTGCACATATAACAGCGTCGTGAAACTGTTAACAACTGATAGGATATATACTAATCTGAAACAATCACAATAGGTTTTATTATAAACAGTTATGAATTAGAAAGTGTTACAAATACAGTTAATTGATTGTATGTGCTATTATCAATATGGCCTAGAGAATCGATTGCCATATTGCCCGCCTTGGTGTAGGTGCGATGTTGTCTACAGCGATGTGGAGGGGCACATGGCCGTGTGTCGTGAAGCTTCATGGACCTACTGGGTGAGTAAGGTTTAACGCGCTCTTAGCACAGGTGGATTCTCACTCACACACACACACACACACACACACACACACACACACACACACACACACACACACACACACACATTTGGGTAGAGAATGCTTAGGACTAATCCAGCAATATCACGGCGGAAGTGGATTGTACACCCTGTACCACTGTGAAAATCGAACCGAAGCCTTCGACCAACGAACCAACAAACGCTCTAACCATCGAGCCACTCACCGTTCAGGATCAGGTGGAGCACACGCCACACTAGACTAACGCTTAGTCTCTGAATATAATTTTGATAGTAACAAACAAACCCATATATATTGAAAAGGAGCCCCAGGGAGACCAGAGATTCAGAACCTGAGGAAATCTAGACTTGCTTCATTTAGGGCTTAAGCATTGCAGCGAGGGCTTGGCAGCAGGGGAAATAAAATGGCTCAGGGACTTTGAGACTGACTAAGGCCACACACGAGGTGGAGTTGAGTAATGTTGGTCATGGCGTTGTTGGATGCTGAACCTGGCAATTATGACTCCGGACAGTTTGTATGACTTCACTCCAGCCTATGCAGAACCAATTGTTATATGTGATGTTTGTCTAGACAATATTGGAAATATGCCTTTATTAATAAAGTAAATGTTTACACAGTTATGCTAGATTGTAATGGGACCGTAAACCTTCTCTTGCCTCACAGGATAGCATTTATGTAGTAGATACTCCCCATGGAGTTGAAAATGAAATGCCAGCGCACAATGACCCACCGACCGAAAATTGTGTTACGCCCTGAGCATTCATTTGTCCACCTGAATGGCTCAGTACATTGGAAATTGTTGTTACATCGTAAACCAGGTTCTTAAACTTCAGTGTTTAGTGTGGCTGCTTGTTGGTCACAGTGTTATAAGTGGACATGTATATTGACACGGTAGCATGTTCAACCTCTTCTATTGCATTAGTCGGGGATATCAGTCATTTACGTGATTTGTCTCCCTCTCTTGCTGACGGTATGACAACCTTGGCTTGTACAAACACTATAGACATGACCCAGGATAGCTCATCTGTACACAGTTACACCGTTGAAGTCCCCAGGACGAGACGCCACACCTCGGTTGTCAGGAACAGGCAGGTTTCCATCCTAACAAAAGAATGCTTTCCTGTATATCCACGTGATTGGTTTTACGTGGCTAATAATAAATCATTTCTGGCAACTAACCAATTTATTTGTTGACATACTTCTACAATGATTAGTTTGTAAACATACTTCTCTGAGATACAGACATTTATCCGAAACAACTCATTCGACGGGTGGCTGTACGAGGTCACAGATTAAGTGAAGTGAAGATACGCTGGGTGCGGAGAGTAGTTGGATGGGGAATAACACTGTGACTCGTGAGAGATTCTCGGATTTCAGGCTGCGCCCACTGAAGCACATGTGTTTGTTTAACGCCGCACTCAGCAATATTCCAGCCGTCTGTAAATAATCGGGTCTGAACCAGACCATCGAGTGATTAACAGCTTGAACATCGATTGCTATGCCGGCGCCATTGGGGTACGATGACACGTGCCAACCAAGTC